ACCTCCGCTATCTGCCACCTGCTCTGTCTTCCCCATACTGTTCTCCGGCACCTGCACACGCCCCCACCCCCATGGAAGCCCAGGAGGCTCCTTCCCTAAAGAGTAGCTGTCTTTGGGGTGACCCTGGGCCAAGCCGGTGATGGGATGTGGCAGTGGTGGTCACTGCAGTGATGAGGCCCTTTAAGTTAAAACACCCTCTGGGTAGATCACAGACACTCACGAATCATCTCTACCTTGTAAACCCCAGGGGAGTTAGCCGGCAGTGTTGACAATATTTACGAACCTTAAAAAAAATTTTTTTTTTGGAAGAGGTAAGTTTGTCCTCTGACCGAGGTCCATCATGAAAATGAAGTTCCTTACATTGGAGGACACAGAGTCGGCTTCACAGCTTATACTGTGCAACTCAGGGCAGCTGAATCAAGCTCTCTGTTCTCCTCAAATTAACGTATTTTGCCTGTTATGAGGGAATGCACGTCCATGGTGGGACACTGGGGAGGTGTTAAAACCGAGACCGTGCTGGATGTAGTTTATGTTGTCCCCTTTTTTAACTCGGCATCTTATTCTGAGCATTTCCCCATGTCATTGCCCCTCACAGCCATCTTGCCAAGGGCCGTGTGGCTGAGCCGTGGGTTACCTACTCTTTCCGTCACACTCGGCCATTTGTGGCTGCACCCAGGGTTCTCATCTGTGAGGCCATGGCGCTGGCCTACCTGCGCACACATGCGGTCACTTGTGTGCCAGGTCAATCCTCCCAGGCCTGCCCTAGGCAGGAAGGTCACCGGGGCTGCGGACTGCAGCCTCCACCTGGTGCGGATCGTCTGCTTCCCAGAGCAGCCTCCTCGGGACACTCAGGCCTCTTATGTCTAAGCTCACACCCCTCATCCTGGGCTATTTTGCCATTTCCTTTCATGCTAAACCAAAGGGGCTATTTTGGAAAGTCCTGTAAGCAAACTAAGCCCCGGCTGGCACTCGAGCGGATATGGAAGAGCCCTAAGTGAGGGGCTCGGCGTAAAAGCTGCCCAGCCCAGGGCGCCCAGTCGTTAAATTTAGAAGCCTCACCTCCAAATGAGGGAAATTGCAGGTTCCCTCTAGAGGGCGGGTGGCTTTGGCCAGCAGTGAGCAGGACAGATTTAGTGGACTGGGCTCCGACTCCCTCCAGCCACACCTTGGGAGAAGAGGCCCAGGACAGTCCCCAGTGTCTGGGGAGCAGCTGGCTGTGTGAGAAGCCCCTTCAGCTGGCCTGTCTTCCCTCCCCACCAGCTGCATCCAAGTGGCATTGTCAGCAAGTGCTGTCTAGGTTGCCAGGCCAGAGAGAGGCAGCGAGGGACACACTAGAAGAGGCAGTCTGGTCTGCCACTGAAGGTTTGGGACCTGCATGGCTTTTGTGCCTCTCTTCTCTCCTATAGGCCTGTCTTTCATGTCCTGCAGAGGGCCGGCTGCCCAGGGCTTCCCTGAGCCGCAGAGTGTCCCCCCGCCATAGGGACTTCCCAAACCTGCCCACAATCCAGCAGCTAAAGGGTTAATGCCAGCCACGGCAGGGGAAGGGGGGCCTTCGGGAGGAATGAGGTCTCCCAGTGGTCAGTGCCCCTGGAGTGTCAATGATTAAACAGGAATATCGCCCTTGATCAAAGGTGACCAGCCTTCATCGGGGCTGGTCAGGAGCTGTCTGCTGAGGACACTTGAGATTCTGGGGGTCTCAGCCAAGCCGTCTCATCTCCAGCCCCCCAGCTGGGTGAGATGGCAGCAGAACTGACTCAGGTCCGAAGGGGCCCACGGGGACCTGGGTTCTCCCACCCCTGAAGCCTGCAAGACACGAGGTTGATTTTTCCTGGCCACCACCCAGTGCTAGTTTCTAGCTTGGCAAGTTCCTTCATGAACTTGCCTCCTTCTGGGTCCCCCTGGCTCCTCCTCAGCCTGGGTCTGGCTCATGGGGAAGGGGATTGCATGCCTCTGTACGGCCCCTGAGAAGCCAGTGCAGCCTAGCATGAAGCCACCAAGCTGTGGAGTCCATCGTGCCCAGGTTCAAATGCCGGCTTTGGCGTTTCCTGCCCGTGTGATCTTGGATGAGTCATTTCTCTTCTCTGAGCCTCTGTTTCTTTATCCGCAAAATGGGGATAATAATATTACTTGGGGAGAATTAAATGAGATTTGAAGGCCTTGGAACAGCAGGCAGAGTGCTGGCTACCCAGGGCCACCCATCGATAGCTGCTGCTTTTGTAAATCATGTTTTATTGGAACACAGCCATGCTCATCATTTACACATCGTTTGTGGCTGCTTTTGCTCTAAAACGGTAGAGTAGTCATTGTGACAAAGACTGTGTGGCCTGAAAAGCCCAAAATATTTACTATCTGGATCTTTGTGGAAAACGTTTGTCCAGCCATTGGAGTCCAGCACATAGCGGAAAATCCTTATCCTTCTTCTATGGCCTGAACTTGGGGCTGCACAGCCAGGTGAAGTGCGGGAAGCAGCCTCAGCCTTTCAGTCATTGTTCTCTGGTTCCATAAAATTGTGTCTCGAGTCTGCCCCTGGCCCCCCCAGGGCTGGTGCCAGAGCCTGGGTCTCAACCACTGACCTTGGGGATCTCCCTCCCAGCTTCCTCCTCATTGCCCAGCTTGGCTAAGGGACGTCAAGCAGTTGGAGAAGGTTCCTAGTTGTCACCAGAGCAGGCGCTTGAGAGTTGGGGGGCGGGGGCGTGGGGTGCCGATAAATGTTTAACAACCAGCAGGGGAAAAAGGCCCTAATTCGTAGTACTTGCCGATTTCCACGGTGTAAATATTCCTGCCGTGGCTGTTTTCAAGCTACCAACTTCCTGGAAGTTTAACAGTGGACTCTGGTGAGCGGGTCCCAGCTGCCGCTGCACAGCTCAGAGGGCTGTGGAGACCCTCCCTGCCGGGCTGGGCAGAGGGACGCCTGACCGCGTACAGTGAGAGCCGCTGTTTGAGTGGCAATGCCACTTCCCAGCTGGGGTCCTCGGGCCAAGCTTATCATCCTCCTGAGCCTCAGTTTCCTCACCTGTTAAATTAGCTTAGCAATAGCTCTTAGGCCTAAGGGGGTTGTGTGGCTTTTAACAAGATAATTTCCATAAGGCATTTAGCTGGGGCTGGCTTAATAACAAGCACACAATAAATGATGCCTCCGTTAGCAGAGGACCTCGACCTCCCCATCTGTACTCAGTGCTGTCATTCATGGATTTATAGCAGGTGACTAGGGCTTGACACATAGTGGGTGCTCAGCAAATGCTCGCCAGCTTCCCCCGTCAGGGCCAGAAGTCACCTCCATGGCCGGGTTCCTGGTCAGAACAATGGCACAGAGAGAGCCAGCTCTTTCCGAGGGTCTTTTGCACTGTGGGGTCTCAGCGCACTGTCCCTTCGGTCCTTTTCTGAATTTCCATCATACGGATGTGACCACCGAGGCCCAGAGCCCGTGAGTAGCACAGCTACAGCCAAGATTTGAGCCCAGGTCTGGCTTTTTTGTTCCAGTGTTCCCCCATGTACAGCAAACGTGGGGTGCAGGGCGAGGAATGACTAGGAGGAGGAGAAGGTTTGTGGGGGCTGCACAGGGGGTTCTGAGGGTGGGCTCTAGAGCCCATGGTAGGAGCTGGCTGTAAACAAAATGCGAGACTGGACACTGGACAGATGTGGCTTGAAAGAGACTGTCATTCCAGGCAGAGGCCCCCATGTGAGCAAAGATGTGGAGACTGGACTCGGCTGGAGGAGGAGGGGACTTTGGAACGCGGGGAGGGGGCGGGGGCCCTCGCCAGGCGGGACTGTGAGGGAGTTGGTGGTGTGGCGCTTTTTTACGGGTTCGGCCTGGGCAATGAAAGTCCCTGGAATCGTTGGCCTGACCCCAGCCTGGCCGAGGAATAGATAGGAAACTGTAGCAGCAGAGATTCAGGTTAGATATGAAGGAGAACTTTCCGATTGTCCACGCTAGAGGACGCGGGGTGACAGTCCCAAGGGATGTGGTGGCATTGGAAAAAAGAGAAGACCGCCAGGGCTCATGGCAGCCTGGGTCAGAGTTGGGGTAACGGGTCGGGAGGCTTCTGGAAGCCTTCGATGCCAGCAGCCTCTAGCCTCGTGTGAATTGGGCTTTGTCGCCCACCCCCTGCTCAAAACTCTTCCATGTCTCCCTGGTATCCTTGCCCAGCTGCAAGGCCAAAGTCCTCACTGGGGCTGCCAAGGCCCCCCAGTGACCTGCTGGCCTCTATACCCTCACCTGGAGCCACACTCCAGCCCCCTGAACGTCTGTCCGCGTCTGGATTGTGCCCCGTGCTCTGCACCTCCAGGCTGTTACCGTGCTGATCTCTCCCCTCTCTCCTCCTCAGCCTTTCCTTCTCGGCTCTTGGGCTGGGCCAGGGACCCCCTGGGCTCCTCATCTCTTCACCGTAGACTCCCAACTATAACTGGCCGGCAGCTCTTTGGCCTCCCTGCTGGACTGCGAGCCCTGAGCACAAGGACTCTGCCCCTCTTGCTCAGTGTGTGTCTCCAGCGCAGTGTCCGGCCTTGGCCTGCAGAAGGGGATCCGTGGGGTCTGTGTGTGTGTGGGTGGGGAGGGTAGTACAGGCAGAGAGGAGAGCGAGGGGCCTGAGAAGCGCTGGGCTCCGGAGAAGCTGTCTGCCCCCTGCACGAGCACGCAGCCTTGCTCAGATTAAGAACCCCAGCCCAGAGCACAGAGACCTGGGTTTGGATCTCGCTCCTGCCACTCCCCTCAGGCAGGTTCCCTAGTGTCACCGAGCCTCGGTTTTCTGCTCTGTGAGCTGGGGACAGTACCGGCCACCCCCTCTCCGGGGCTGTCGTAAGACCCCGGAGCCCGCGGTTGGCACTCACAAGGCTGACTCTCCTGTCCTCTCTGTAGGTGACAGCCATGTCGGTGAGGGTGCGGTTCCTGTCCTCTGCGGACGCAGGGGCCGTGGGTGTCATGGGCCGGAGCGCCTCCTTCGCGGGCTTCAGCAGCGCGCAGAGCCGCAGGATCGCGTAAGTGCTGCCCGTGCCGTGGGTGTGGGGCTCCTTGCAGGGCTGAGAGGGGACAGCAGGGACGTCCTCCTCCCACTGCCCGTGAGCCTGAGGCATGTGCTCATGCCAGGCCTGCGGCCCAGGACAGTGTGCGTGTGCGTGTGCGTGTGCGTGTGTGTGTGTGACTCTTGGTGTCGGGAGAAACCTGTCAGGCCCACTTGGCAGAGCAGAAAACCTGCTCAGAGAGGTGGAACTGCTCACCCAAGGTCACACAGCAAGACTGCTTCAGGGTTGGAACTCAGGCTCCTGGGGCCAGGATAGGATGGAATGTTCTTCCTGTTTGATAGAATGGGAAATGGGGCCAGCTCTCCTGGCTCTGTGTCCTGGGGCAAGTGACTGCCTCTCTGAGTCTTGGTTTCATCATCTGTGCATTGGGGTTCACGAATGTCCCTCCCTCACCGGGCTGTCACAAGGCACAATGAGGTGACACATGGCAAGCAGCTGGCACACGCTGGCGCACAGTAGGTGCTTGTGGGATGTTTTGAAGGAGGAGGAGCAGCCTCTGCAGAGATGGGCCTGGAGTCGGTGCTGAGCCTCTGGACGTGAGTTCATGGACACTGCCACGTGTCTCCTCCAGCCGCAGGCAATCCCCAGGAGGAAGGGGGCCGCAGCTCGGTCAGCCCAGGCCTGCCTGGCTCCCGACCCCAGAGCTCCATGTCCGGCACCGTGCAAGTCCCTAGGGAGCCGCCTGCCAGCTGGTGAGCCTGAGGGTGGGGCGACCCCTCAGGCACCCTGAGGGGCCCAGGCAGCTGCCTGTTGGAGCAGATGTGGTGGACAGGCAGGACCCTCGGCCAGAGCAGGCGCAGAACCTGGTCAGTAAGTCAGTCAACAGCCAAGTCTCATCATGGTGCTCCCTCCAACTCAGAATGCAACCCAGTCCACTCACTCACCGGCCCGCGGCCCGGCCTGGCCGACCTCGTTTTAACCCTGAGCTTTGGCCACATCGACCTCTCCCTGCCCAGGACCTTTGCCCAGGCCGTGTGCTCCAGCCGGAACCCCTTCCCTCTCCTCCTCACCTGGACGGTTTCTGCTGAATCTTCTTCGGGCCGTGGCTTCAATGCCCTGTCCTGGGGGGACCCCTGAGCCCCAGAACAGGCCCTCCCATAGCTCTTTCTCTCGGGTTCACCGGCTGCACTTTAGACCCCTGTGATGCCCGGCCCGGTGGTCAGGTCCAACTCACTCACCTTGTCCCCCGCTGCCCAGTTCGAGGTGTGCCTGGGAGGAGTGGCGTCCCAGGGCCGAATCCTAGAGTGTCCCGGCTGGAAGCACCTTGGGAATTCCTAACTCGTTCCACATGTCTGAGGCACCTACTCTGGCCAGCCCTGGCCCCAAGCTCTGGAGAGAGACTCAGGCCCCACCCTCCTGCCAGGGCACCGAACCAGCCAAGCATCACCAAGAGGGACTGAGCTGGTGGCAAGTGCTGCGGAGGAATTCCAGCAGGGGGTGTGGGAGGGCGGCGGGGGTCTCAGAGGAGTCCCTCGACAAGGCAGGGGGACATTTAGGAGAAGGTCGAAGAGAAGAGAAAGAGCCAGTCACATGCAGAGGGGGTGGGGGTGGGGAAGCCTGTCAGGTGGAGGGGATAGCGAGTGCAAAGGTCCTGAGGTGGAAATGAGCGTCGAGGGACAGAAAACGGGCATGTGGGACAGTGGTGGGCGAGGGAGGCGGACCCTGCAGGGCCTCGTGGGCCACTGTGAGGAAGGTACACAGTAGGCGCTTTGTAAGTGCTGCCAAGAGCAGCTAAAGGGAAACTGGCCAGGAAAAGATGCTCTTCCTCCACTGAGCCATTTCCGAGCTGCCTCTTCCTGGGCTTCGCCCCGGTCCCCCACCCCATGGGGTCTGTAATCAGGGCTGCTACGGACAACTGTGCAGGTCGCCTGGCCACGGGGGACAGACATCCAGCCCGTGCGACCCTCCCAAGCTGTGTGCCTGGCACAGAGCTGGTCCACCCAAAGGGCAACTTTCTTTAATCACACAGAGGCACTGTGGAGACTTTGTCCCTGGGGACTGGCAGCCGGGAGGGGCCTGCAGACTGGCACGGGGCCCCTCAAGTAGCTTTAACGCTCTGCTGTTGCCATCTAGATACGTTTTCAACAAAGAGCCCTGCGTTTTCTTTAGCGCTGGGCCTCACGAATTCCGTAGCCTGCAGCTTTCCTGTCAGGGGCCTCCAGAATTCCTGCATCCGAGGAAATGTCCCCTCAGGACCCAGTTAGGAGCTTTGCCCCGAGTGTGCCCCGAGGTGGGCCCCCAGCCTCTTGCTGCCCACCCCCCTCCTGGATTCCTGGGGTCAGCACTGTGGACAGGAAGAGAACAGAGGGGATCCGACCTTGTGACACTAAGGTTCATCAGTCAGCAGCACAGGTAAGAGGCAGGTCCTGCAAAGGCCATATCCTAGCTTGAGAAAGAGGACCCTTGTGGCTGTGACTACCCTGGACCCTTCCCGGGGCTCCTCCTCCTGGGGGTCCCTCTTAGGGAGTTCTGGAGTGTGCCTGGCCTGGGCAGGTTCGGCAGTCCCTGAGTGGTCACCATCTGGCCTTAACCTCTGCAGTCCCCTCTCCATGGGCGAGGAAGAAGCTGCCCACAGTGACAAGGAGGAAGCATGTCTATTTTTAACTTCCTGTCTCTGTCCACCTCCCAAGGGTCTTGACAGCCTGGATTGAGTTTCAGGCCTCACCTTCTGGCCTTATTTCCTAGGTAATCCAAGCAGGCTGAAACACAGCCGCATTGCCAAGGCCCTCGGTGTGGGTCAGATGGAGACAGGAGAGCAGGTCCACTTAGATGGGGTGGGTAGATGCCCTCTTTGTCCCTCACCCTCACCCCTGCTCTGGGACCTTGAAACCTTTTAGATCCTGACAGGGCTTTTTAGTCCATAATCAAAGAATTTATTTGGGGAAGTAATCTGGCAAGGGAATTTTATACTAAGGTGTGAATGGTTGCTATAATAAAGCCATATGTAATAAGGTGGGGCGACGAAGAAAAGACCAGGCTCTGACATTGTCCCATTCTGCCTTGATTGATAGGCATGGCTACTCTAAACCCCTTCCTGTCATTCCTCAGCCAGGTCACCTCTCCCCAAGGCTGTCAGGCAGGTACCCTCCTGTGCCCAGAGCCACTGTGACATCCTCACCACCTTGAGAACTTCTCTGTTGGGACAGCTGGGAAGTGGAGGTGGAAAAATGCAACAGCAGCCTTTGATTTTCAAGGAGCGAAGCCTGGAGAGAGAGGACACAGCAGAGGCGCTCACGCTGCCTTATGTGTGTGGACGCACGGACTCCGGGACCTCAGGGACATGTAGGGAGAAACAGGCTGGTCCACATGGAGCCCCCAGAGCAGAGTTTGTCCTCTGCAAGGGCTGCGTGCACGTTTGTCATCATCCCAGCCCACCTAGTGCCACCAGACACAGGAGAGAAGTTTAGCTTACACCCTTGTCACATTGAGTTCTCACCTGAAACATCTCTAGTCGGTCCTATAATTGCCCCATGCCCATCTCCAGCCCCACCTGGGGGCGGGAGAAGAGGCAGGTGCTGACTTGAGCCTGGCCGGCCTCCAGAGCCTGCACGTGCCGCAGCCACGCACGAGAGCCTCCGACAAGGCATTTCCGCACGACACCAGGCAGGGCCGCCCTGTGGCCTCACGTGCAGGCCAGGCCCAGTGGGCTGCACGTGCCCATCCGGTGGAATCTCGTCTGGCGAGCCAGGGGCCGTTGAATATTTACTGAGTCTGCCCAGGGCTGGGAAACATCCGCCCCAGAGGTCACTCCCTGCCCTGGCAGTTGTGACACCAGGCCAGACATGCAGCCTGATTTCGCCACCCGCAGCCGGCACACGTATCACCTTTCCCGGCGGGACCGGCCCTCAGAGTGGCCGCCACACCTGCCCTGATGAAGCTCAGACAAGAGCACTGGGCTCAGAGCTCCCCTGGAAGCCGCAGCAGCAGGGGCGAGGAGGTTTCCAGGTAGACGGGAAAGGGACCTGGCTGAGGGCGCACACCTGCCGGGACGCCGAGCCCCCGCGAGCTGGCAGGTGAGCGTGGCTCCCGCCTCGGAGCTGCCTGCCCACCCCACCTGCCTGCCTGCCCGTCTGCCGCAGACCCTAGCTTGTCCGAAACCTGCCTCTTTCTCGAGCCCGCCAAGATGGCCACCTTGTGGAGGGTCTGCTCCAAGAGGTGGGTGACGTGGCCTCGGGGAGGGGAAGGGAGTGGGAGCACAGCTCCGTCCTGGCCTTTGGAAAGTGTCACTTGTCGTATAATATGTGAATGACAGCAACAGCGGGTCCAAGGATGAGCACTTATGATGTACCAGGCCTGGTGCCCAGTGTTCTGCTGGTACCTTTACTCAAACATCACGTGACTGGGGGAGCGTTCCCTGTGCACCCCACTTTAATTCATGATCTTGCCTTTATTTTTTTCCTCAGCACTAGGCATCGATGTATGATTTTTTTAAAGTTCTTACTTAACGTTGACCCTTATACAGCGCTTACCCGTGGCTGGACACTGCTCAAAGCCCTTTACATGAACTCATGTCACTCAGGGCAATCCTTTCTCTGGCTCCCATTTTACAGATGAGAACATTGAGGCACAGAGAGGTTCAATAACTTACCCAAGGCCACACAGCTTGTAAGTAAGGGAGCCGGATAGAGACTCTGGCGTCTGGCTCCGGAGCCTGTGTTTGTTACCTTTTCCCACGGTCTCCCCCAGCTGGTACGACAGCTCACTGAGGCAGGGCTTCTGTCTCTTTTGGTCATAGTTCTACCCCCAGCCCCTAGAATCTGGTGCACAGTAGGTACTCAGTAAATATTTGTCAGATGAGTGATACCTTTCATGACAACTCTGTGGGGCAGGACTCTTATTATCTCCCTTTCACAGATGAAGAAACTGAGGCTTCAGTAGGAAAAGTGCCTACGACCTCTAGGGCTGGGATTTGACCAGGGTAGCTGACCTGGAGCTTGTGCCGAGGCCCCTGAGGGTCCAGGGTGGGGTTCCAGAGCCTTCCTTGCTGCAGTGTCTTCTGGGACCAGTTCTCGGCGTGCCTGGGCAGGGCCCGGGGTCTGTATTTCTTGGTTTGCAATGTGACCGTGTAGGGTGATGGGGAACCATGAGTCTTGGGGCTTGGTCCTCATCAGCAGGGGTGGCTAGGACGGCTGCTCTCTGTTGAGTCAAGAGCAGGTGTCTGCATCTGCACATGGAATGTGCAGCATCTGGCTGGACTGGAAATACAGCTTGGCGGCTTGCTAGGCCTCTGGGGGACCAGGGCAATGTGGTGGCCCAGTGACCCTGGCGAAGGATCTGGAGCTGTGTCCCGCTTGCCCCCTGCCTGGCTCTCCAGACCACAGTCCACCCCCTCCCTGTGGACTGTGAGCCCTCGAGGGTGGGACCCTGGCCCCTCGGCGTTCATCACAGCACCTGACCCAGGAAAGCCCTGCTCTGAGTGTTCGAACGAATGAATGAATCCTATGCCCATGACTTTGGACCTAAAAAGTATAGCAGACTATGAAGAGCTCCCAGGAAGATGTGGAGCTGGGCACCTAGCAACAGGACGTCTCCTGAGTGATGACTCCCATGCCCCGGACCAGGAGCATCGCCAGTACTTGGCAACACATTAAAATGCAAGTCCTCAGGCCCTGCCCCAGACTCTTAAATTTGAAACTCCAGTGGGGTGGAGGTGGGGGCCAGCCATCTGGGTCTAATCACCTCCAGGTGATTCTGAGGGCCTTGAGAACACTGCGCCTCTCCCCCCGCTGCGTGGCAAAGACTCGAGCCTGAGGATCTGCATACATCTGGGTTCGGTCCCACCTCTGTCACCTACATGATCTGGGGCAAGTCACTTATCTGAGACTCAGTTTCCCTCCCTTGCGATGGGGTTAAAATTAATACCTGCCTCCTGGGCGGTTGTGAAAGTCGATATTTGTAGAGGTGAAGCTGCTTTGACAAAGAAATCCCCCCAAATACTGAGACTTCAATAAGATTGGTTGGTCCTTCCCATCATGTAACAGTGTTGAGCCAACAGATGGCCTGCTCCACAGCTGTTCTGTCTTCCATGTGGCTCAGCCGTCCCCATGGGGGCCCTAGTGTACCTGGTTGAAGCCGACTCCTCGGGGTACCTGAGGAAGATGAGGAGGGAGGGGGAGAAGGCGGAGAGGAAGGCTGGCCGCTCCTCTTTAAGAAATCGACCCAGGAGTTAGTTTTAAGTGTCGTTTCTGCCCTCGTTCTGTGTGATGAGGCCTCATCTGGTGTAGGGGCATCCAGGAAACAGTGTCTTTAGAGGGATAGGATGGACTTAAACACACCTGGCAGCGGCATCAGCCAACTCTGGTCTCAAGCTTAGTGGACAAAGCACAGGATCATAAGATGCTAGAAGAGGCTTAGATGCCAATGAAAGCATTTCTGTGCCTTAATGAGGCCACCCTGACCACTACGATCAGTCCTGAAATGCCTGCATATCTGTAAAGGGCTGAGAGACACAGCTGTCACTGCTGGGGTATCCGGTCCGCGCTCCCAACTCCAACTAGGCTTCAGCAAAAAAGAGAACCAACTAGCTCATGTATCTGAAAGTCCATGGACAGGGCTAGCTTCAGGCATAGCTGGATCCAGGAACGCATTGCCGTATGCATGTGCTCTGGCTCCATCTGCTTCTCTCTGTGCTGGCTCCATCTTCCCTACGTGGTGGCAACAGAGGAGGCTGGAAGTTCCAGGTGTGTTTTCCCCTAGATTAGCATGCTGTCAAGGATCCTTCTCACTCCTGTGAATTTGGAACTAAACTCCTGAGTTACTGGCCAGACTTGGTTCCCATGCCTCTCCCTGGGCCACGGGATTGGAATATATTGACTAACCCAGACCCGGGACATGGGTTGGCCTCAGAATGCCCATGTACGTGTGTGCATTACATGTGTGTGCATGTGTTTATGTATATTGATTCATCAGGCCACCTCCTTCCAAACCATTTATATAAAAAGCAGGGCTGGGGAGGTTCTCCAGAGCAACACTGAGCTATTAGCAGAGGGAGGTGGATGAATGCTGGGCAGGCAAAGCCAACATGTGCCCATCCCATAGGTACACCACAGAACTATGATTTGGCCTCCCACGTTGCTTTGCCTGCACAGACGAAGCAGGCTGAACAAAAAGTATTGGTCTTTGGGCTGCTCGATTATATTTCTCACTGTAAGTTAATTTTTCATATCAGGTTATTATTAGTAGTAGTAGTATTCTTTGAATGCTCAAATCCCAGCCCTTGCTTTGCAGAGAAGAAAACTGAGGCCCAGAGAATCTTGGCGACTTTCTTGAGACCACACAGCTTGGTAGTGATCGGGTGGGGCTCAGCCAGGTCCCCTGACTGCCTGTCTGCCCCTGAGAAGGGTTTTGTCAGACCCATACCCTAACCTTCCCCCGCTCCCCCACCCCATCCCTTCTCACAGAAAATCCATCCAAAGGAACTCGGTGAGGTCTCGAATGCCTGCAAAATCCTCCAAGATGTATGGCACGCTGCGGAAGGGGTCTGTCTGCCCAGACCCAAAGACGCAGCAAGTGAAGAAGATCTTCGAAGCACTGAAGAGAGGCCTCAAGTAAGGATGGGCTGTTTGCAGCCTTTACAAAGTATAGTCTTTGGCCCGGTTGGGTCTTGTCTGTACGAGGCCACAGAGGGAGCTCCTGCTTATTCACTTGTGGGGAGCAACTTGTCCAGGATCCCATCGCCAGAAGGCAGGGGGCGGGGCACCTGGGCCAAAGCTGACCTGTCCTTCTGTCTGCTCTGGGCTCAGATAAATGCCACATCTCCTCACCCACTTCCCACCACCCAGGGGGCATCCTTTGCCCTCCTCCCATGATGCCCCTCGTGCTGGTGTAGAGTAGGAGCCGGGGGTGTGTGCCTGGAGTGGGGGGGCCTGTCTCCAAGGCGCTCATCCCCCAGGACAGCTTCTGGTGATTCCCATAAGGACCGCATGTTCGAGACTCGTCTGAGGTCAAAAGCGTCCACTTCTTTCTGGGAGCACAGCCCCTGAGTGAGCAGTGCCTGGTAGTAGGTGGTATACATGCGCCCAGAGAGGGTGAGTCACCTTCCTGGGGTGACCCAGCAAATCGACGATGAAGCCCCACACAGGCCTCCAAGTCCAGATCTCAGGTTTACTGTCCAATCCAACATGAAATGTCCCCTCCTGGCCCACAGCTTTTTCTATGCTTTCCAGAATGGGTTTTCCTGGCTTTTCTCTGGTCCTTGGCTCCAGGCATTCAGACAGCAGGACGGTCGCCCTCATCCATAGGGGCATGTGCTCTCGCTGACCTCCCCAGGGGCTGGGGTGATGATATTGGCCTCCGGAGGCCACTGCCTGGCTTTGGACCTGGATTCAGCCTCTTACCTGCTGAGTGCACTGGGTTACTTGCCTTCTTCTAGGGCCAGTTTGCCCATCTCTAAATGGGTTTAATAATAGTTTGTGGGGCTGATGGAGGAATTAACAGAGAGATTCCTCATTCTGCACAGCACTGAGCTCATGGCCCACAGTGTGTGGGATCTGGAGGCTGAGCAGATAGGCCAGGCTCCTGGGGGAGAATGGCTGTGCCCTCTGCCCTCTGCCCTCTGCCCTCTGAGCCTGCTGAGAACCACGGCTGCCCTCCCTGGGCAGCTCTGGCTGCCTGCACGCCGCAGCAGTGACCACCAGCCTGTTCCTCTTCCTGTCGTTGCTCCTTTTCAAACCCCTTTCCCTCGTTCTCCTCACAGGGAGTCTCTGTGTGCCCAGCAGGCCGAGCTGGATTACCTGTCAGGGCGCCACAAGGATACCCACAGGAATTCCAGGCTGGTGAGACCCTTCCCTAGACGCGTCCCACCCAAGCTGCCTCGGCTGGGGTTCAAAGATGGACCCTTCCTCACCCCCGTGCCCGCCCCACGGGTGCAAATCTCAGCCTCAGAACTCAGAGGCTTAGGATACGGACTTGCTTCAGTTGGGGATAAATTTAACCTCACGGGCTGTGGAAAGCCTCCCGCCCCACGATACAGAGTTCCCACGTCTGAGGGCTCACCTCCATTCTCTTCGGTTCTAGAAGGAACCGTGAGGCGGGGGGGTATGTAGAGGTACGTGTGTTATACGGCCCTGTTTTACAGACCTTGGCCGTCCTGGCGCCCTGCGGTCGGGTGGCTCATGGGATGGGTCGGGCATCGAAGCCAGGTGTGTGGCCCAGGTGCGTGTCACCCGATGGTCCGCGGCATCTTGAGGGCAGTGTCTTGGAGGCTGCCCTGGGGCCTCCTGTCTATCTCAAGACTCATGTGCTCTGGGTTTTGCCACTCCCTTAGGAAAGCCAGATAGAGGGGGAAAAAAAAAAAAAAAGGCCCAAACCAAACCAAGACAACAAACAAACAAAACACACACACACATGAAAACAAACAAAACCAAACAAAACCGAAAAACCAAGACCAAAAACAAACAAAAAGTAGGCTACCCAGTTAAATTGGATTTTCAGGTAAACAACAATTTTTCATTTTTCAGTGTAAGAAAGTCTCATGCAATCTTTGGAACAGGCTTATACTAACAGAAATTATGTATCATTGGTTGGAAGCGCAACCGGGCATCCTGGATTCTCCGCTGGGCGCTGGGCGGGACCTCCTCCCCGAGGTGGGGAAGCCCCTCCTCCTGGTCTGGAGTCCCCAGGCTCTCTCCCCTCCCCCGCCCACCTACCTACCCTCCAGGGGATGAGAAACAAAGGACAGGAGGCCTTACAGTCTGTGGGCTCCTACCAGCCAGCTTGTTTCTAGCGACCCTCCTCCTACATGTAAAGAAGACAGGGAGGGGGAAGCGAATCTTTCTATCAAAACAGCAGCTGGCTACCTCTGTACCCTGGCTCCAGTGGAGAGGACCTGGGGTGGGGGATCTGCTGGGTGGGAGATGCAGGACCTCCAGCCTCACGCATGTGCCAGATGCTTTGGGGAGGGAAGGGCAGGCGGCTCAGGCAGGCCTTGCCCTTGGTGGGTGGGCGGGCCACGCAGACGGGAGGGAGGCGGTGTTGCCAAGAGCCCACCCCCAGTTCCCAGCCCTTCCCATCCTCCTCCCCGCCCCGTGTTCTCAGGTCTCCCGGCGGCTCTCTCCCTCTCTCTTTCCATTCTAGAAAGTACTCTAAGGCAGACGAGTGTACAAAGGTCCATACGTTTCAGCTGCTCCTGTTTCGTACATGGGTCCACTGAGGCCAGGCCCAGGGCGGTGACTGCACTGGGGGCCACACAGCAGGGTGGCCGATGTGGGGTCCTGCCTCCCTGACAACTGCTGGTTCTTGGTTTTCGAGAAGTCGCTGTGCGGTTACTTTTCTTTCCAAAGGCTTGGGAACTTTCCTAATTCTTTATTTCTCACAGGGAGCTTTAATTTCGTAATCCCACACATAAAATTCCGCATAAATGCATACATGGGAAAACAGAATTCTGGGGGTTTGATCCATCTTTCCTTTTTGCTTGACACCCCTTCCCTTGCCCCCACTCCCCACTCCCACCTTCTCTGTCCCACCTTGTTTAACCCTAAGGACAATCTAGCATTTATCTTTCCATGTTTTTCCCCCTGATCCCATAACTATGTAAACATACATACAAGTACCTGTAGAAGGTTTTGGTCAACAGCTGTCTTAAAAACGAAGTCACGTCTTGCTTTCTCTCCCTAGTGGATCTCCAATCCTGTGGAAATTTCTCCAGGCTCAGATGCAGTGATTCTAATCCATGTGGGCAAACCAAGGCCCCTTTTGGAAATACAGTTTATCCACACGCGGCCACACCCACCATTCTCATATTGTCTGTGGCCACTTTCCTGCCACCACGGCAGAAGCCATGTGGTCCGCAAAGCCTGAAATATTTACTGTCTGGACCTTGATACACAGACTTCCCTGCCCTGACAATAGATTACTTTCATCCTGGCCCCTGGCGTGGATGGACCGGGTCTGGATTTGCCATTTCTGGAGCCTGAACTCCTGGGTGTTGCTGGTTGCCTCTCCCCGCTCTCAGTCCTTCTGGTCATGGCCGAAGTCACTCCTTAAACAATCAAATCACAGCGTTCCCCATTTTGTTGAGTGCTTACCGTGTCCTTTACTCTTCATGGCAACTCTATGGGGTAGATGCTAAGGCTATCCCCTTTTACAAGAGGGAATGGAGGCTCAGAGAGGTTGAGTGGCTTGCCTGGGACACACGGCTGGGAAACAGAGCCCAAACTAGAACTGCCTAGAACGGCCTCACTCAAAGTGCATGTGTGTATCACGTCTCCTCCTTGGCCGGGCCCACAGGCTCAGAGGTTGGGGGTGCTGCTGGCCTTTCATCCTCTGAGCTCAGGTGCCCTAGGATGTAGGCTTATGTGTCTTGGAGGAGCATCCGGAGCCCTGACACCTACCCCCACTTCCCTCCCCCACAGGCTTTCTATTACGACCTGGACAAGGTGAGTGAAACTTCCTCTGTCTGCAGGTGTTGAGAAAGTGGGCGGCGGCTGGGCCTGGCTGGGTGAGAATAACTCTTTTGCTCCCAGTGCACCCTCTGGCTGTCCTATAAAAGAAATACCTGGGTTCCTCCCAAAACTGAGGCTCCCAAGGTGTGGCTGGAGGGAGTCGGAGCCCAGTCCACTAAATCTGTCCTGCTCACTGCTGGCCAAAGCCACCCGCCCTCCAGAGGGAACCTGCAATTTCCCTCAAGGGTGGTGAGGGGCTGGCCTGGCTTTGAGCCTAGTTCCGTGTTAGGACCTTGAGGAGGGTGGCAGGAGCTGGAGGTGACTTTTAAAGCATCTTCTGTTTTTCTGGGAGAAGCAAACGCGCTTTGTGGAAAGGCACATTCGGAAGATGGAATTTCACATCAGCAAGGTCAGCTTGGTTCCTGTGGTGTCTGGGGTGGGGGCGGGGTAGTGTCTTTCCTTGCTGGGCTGCTGCTGGATTAGCTGGAGCCAGGACACCTCCTCTGAGTAGGGGGAGGGTGTCTGGGTGCTGAGTGGCTGGAGGAAGTCAAGAAGGAGCAGGAACTGCAGGGGAGACTGGGCTCATGGGAAGCTTGAGAGCAACCACCCAGTTGTAGACATGGGAGAGTAGAGGCCCAGAGAGGGACAAGCATTGGCCCAAGGTTGCACAGCAAATCCTTTAGGCTTTGAAGTCTGCAAACTCTTACTCCCCCACAGTCCAGTGGGTGGGCAGGATAACACGAGCCCACCTCCCCTGCTCACAGCTGAAAACTCAGGCAGGGAGAGGGGATGTGATACATTTTCATTGTGCCCTGACCGGCTGCCAGCCGCTGCCAGGAGCTGGGGATACAGACGGAGTGGATGAGACACATGTAGTTCCTGCCCCCGTGTTCTGCGGGGACCGTTGAACCGCTGTCAGGGGCTGGGCTGGGGACGTGAGCTCAGGGGTGGCCTTTCCCAGAGGGTGAGCATGGCAGGCCGGTCTGGGGCCTTGTCCCTCAGCATGGGCAACACCCACCTTCCTGTGTGCCCGGCAGGTGGACGAACTCTACGAGGGCTACTGCATCCAGTGCCGCCTGCGTGATGGTGCCTCCAACATGCAGCGGGCCTTCTCCAAGTGCCCACCCAGCCGCGCCTCCAGGGAGAGCCTGCAGGAGCTGGGCCGCAGCCTGCAGGAGTGCACCGAGGTGGGCCGGCTGTGGGGGCATGGGAGGGCAGCGGGGGCCCGGGCCCAGCTTTGGGGGGTTTCCCCGGACGCTGAGGAAACACCTCTCTGTCCATGGGCCTCTCCTTGGTAGGGTCTGTGTGTGTCCCCTGTGGCCTAGCCTGGGGGGGCAGCGCTGAGCTGCCCTATGTGGGGTTTTGCAGGACATGTGGCTCATCGAGGGAGCCCTGGAGGTCCACCTGGGCGAGTTCCACGTCAGGATGAAAGGTAGCAGGGCTGAGAGTGGGTAGGCAGGAGCCCGTTTGGGTGGGGTGTCTGGCCTTCCTGGGGGCCCTAGGACTTCTGCTGGCCGGGGAGGTGTCAGAATCCAGGGATCCAGCCCTGGGTTTGCACTCTGTGATATGTGACTTTGGGCAAGCCCTGCCCCCTCTCTGAGCTGGATGTGAAGGCCCAGGCCTGTCCACTGCCTGTCATGATGGCTTGTCCCTCCCTCCCTGAGGCTGATCCCCACACCAGGGTGTGAGGTCTCCGGGTAAAGACTGCGGCCCATGGGGCGGGGAGGGGCGGGGGAGGGGCGGAGGAGGGTGGAGAGAATTGCCTGTCCTGTGTTCCAGGCTTGGTGGGCTACGCACGCCTCTGCCCGGGAGACCAGTATGAGGTATGTCCACTCTCCACTGGTAGTTGTCAGGGCTCCCCGCCATGCCTCTGGGGGTCCAGGGTCCCAGCAACAGTGAGGGCCCTGGGGCAGGTGGCAAGGGCGGGTGCCCACTTGGGGCAGCTGAACCCACCCCTTCTTGGGCCTCACCCACAGGTGCTCATGCGCCTGGGCCGCCAGCGCTGGAAGCTGAAGGGCCGGATCGAGTCCGATGACAGCCAGACCTGGGACGAGGAGGAGAAGGCCTTCATCCCCACCCTGCACGAGAACTTCGAGATCAAAGTGGGTGGGGCCTAGGGGTAGGGCCAGGGCGCCCAGGCGTTCAGCTCAGACGCCACCTACAACTCCCCCCACCTCGCCCGCCAGGTGACAGAGCTAAGAGGCCTGAGCTCGCTGGCCGTAGGCACAGTGACGTGTGACATCACCGACTTCTTCACGACGCGGCCGCATGTCATCGTGGTGGACATCACAGAGCTGGGCACCATCAAGCTGCAGCTGGAAGTGCTGTGGAAGTGAGTAGGGGCCAGCCTCCCTCCGGGCCCTGAGGCTCCTCCTCCCGGTAAGCTCCGAATTCCCATCTGGCGGGACTCCCTCCCCGAGAGCTGGAGGGGCCTCGCTGGCTCCCCCTCGTGGCCCGATCGTGCCCTAGCATCTACTTGTGGGCATTTCTGTTGCTTGTAGTGCCTGAGTCACAGGACCCCCGTGGTCCCGCTGGGCCTCAAGCCCCGCCTTTGTGCAAATGAGAGCGAGCAGGTTTCTGCAAAGCAGGGAGGGTTTACCCAGACCCACCTGCGCCAGGGGCTGGGTCGGCGAGGCCCAGAGTCCCCAGCCTTACCTGGGACTGGGACTGACACAGAAGCCCTAGAGTGGCGCCCTTTACAGATGAGGAATCTGAGATGGGTGGTGACGATGCTTACCCAGGAAATGGCAGCACTGCGTGTCCACCGCTGGTCTGCTGAGCTTCTCAAAGGGCCCTCTAAAGGGGGGGTGTCGTTCATATCTATGGCGACCAGTCGCTGCTTCTTGCCATCTGAAGACCCTCAGCGTGGTGGGCCTCAGAGAGACGTTTCTGAGAGGGTCGAGAATGTGGCCCTAAAGTCCCTGGGCTGCGCTCGAATGCCCTCCCGGGCACCGATGACAGAAACATCCTGGCCTTCTGTTCTCTTGTCCAGCCCGTTTGACACTGAGATCTTCCTGGTGTCACCCAGTCCCACGGTCAAGTTCTCTGTGGGCAGCAGGAAGGGCTCCTTGTACAACTGGACACCCCCGAGCACCCCCAGCTTCCGGGAGAGGTACTACCTGGTGAGTGGGCCAGGAACGCTGTGGTCATGCTGGGATGGTGGGTGCGGTGGTGAGTAGGCGCCAGCATGTGGGACTAGGCCGATCAGCCTGGCACCTCCAGATGCACCAAGCTTTGGGTTCGGCCTCCTTCGTTTTCGGTTATCCTGGGTGTTTTATCCTGGGTGCCAGACTCTCCATTCTGGAGGCCTCCATTCTGGTCAGTTCTCCTATATGCCTGGAATGGGGTCTTCTCGATGGTTCTATCACCCCAGCTGTGGCCTTGGCCTCCAACTTATTTGTTCTGAACTGTAATGATTCCAGGAGGTAATACCTTGAGATCGTGTGCAGTAAAACATCTCTTTCTTGTGACCTCCAGGGATCTGGGTCCCCTCCTTAGCGCCATCGTCAACTTGTCCATATCCCTCGAGAGATTCTCTATGTCACCTGGGAGCAAATGCATCTTCTGCTCCATCTTTTACCCCATAGCAGCCTTTTTAACCTAGTGATGCATTTGGAGACTGGAGGCGTGAGGGATAAATGAGGTAGGACTCGAAGGCCCTTAGAACAAGGAACGTAAATGCCAAGTGCTTAATTCACCGACGAGCTGCTCTTGCTTCTATATAATAAGCACGCACTGTGTATTGTATGTCAGGTCCTTCCTTCATTCATTCACTTCACTCATTCAAAACTATGTGCCAGGCTCTTCTCTAGGCCAGGTGAGGACTGTGCCCTCCAGGAGCACTGCCTCCCCGAGGGGTAGAAGGACAAAGGGAGAATAAAGCAGCACATTCTCAGGCCGAGAGCACAGTCAGTGCAAAGGCCCTGAGGTGAGAACGTGTACACGAGCCTGGAGGATGTGAGAAACAGCAAGGAGGCCCCGCCGGGGCTGGAAAGGAGTGAGTTAGAGGGGAGACAGGGAACAAGGACAGAGAGGTTACAGAGAGGTCCTATCAGCACCTCCGAGTCACCTTGGTGGACCTCAGTCATCCCAAGAACGTGGGTTCGCAGAGCAGGTGTCTATGGGGGGATGCCCCTCTGGGAGCCCCTCTGTGCTTCCTGGGGTGGCCAGTGAGGTTGGTCCTGTGTCCTCTTCTCCAGTCTGTCCTGCAGCAACCAGCACAGCAGACCTTGCCGCTGGGTGGGCCAAGGGCCACGTCCATCCTCAGCTACCTGTCTGACAGCGACCTTCGGAGCCCAGGCCTGTGGAGCCGGAGTCAGGAGCTGCCTGAGATGGACTCCTTCAGCTCTGAGGACCCCCGAGACACCGAGACCAGTACCTCGGCATCCACCTTGGACGTGGGGTTCCTGCCCTTGGCCATCGGCCCCAATGCCTCCATTGAAGAGGAGGCTCAGGAGGACCCCCCATCCCCGGGCCTCCTGCCAGAGATGGCCCACCTGGCAGGAGGTTCATTCGTGGAGCGGCCTGGCTGGAGAAATCGGGGAGTAGAGATCCCTAACCTGCCCCGGGGCTCCACATTCCACAACCGTACGATGCCAGGTGGCCAGTGTAAAGGCCGTGATGAAGGAGAAACCGGGCATGGAGTGGACGAGCCGGGGGTGACCCTCGAGAGGCCCCTGCGGGAGGTCCTGGACTTACTGAGGTGCACAGACCCCTCCCAGCCCCGGCTCCGGGAGCTGGAGTACCAGGTCCTCAGCTTCAGGGACCGGCTGAAGGTAGGTTCGCTCTCCGCTGGGCTACAGCCCCGCTTTGCCAGTGGCGGGGGCCGCAGGCCGCCAGCCTGGGCCGGCGGTCTCGCCTCACTCCAGCATCACCCGGGTCGGCCATGTCCCCTCTCTGGGCCTCAGTTTGCTCATCTGTCAAGTGGGAATAACGAAAGCCCTCATTGGGCTGGGAGGAGGCGTGGAAGAGGAAGTTGGGGCTCAGAGTGGAGAACTTGCTCCACGTCCAGTCAGAACCGGCCCCATCTTGAAATTTCTGGCCCAAGCAGCTGAGGCTGTTGGCTCAGCATTAAAATCCCAAACCTGGGGTGTTCTCAGGGTCCAAGCTGGCACCCTCACACAGCCACACATCACACCCCGAAACTTCTCGACAGGGCCCAGGTGGCTCTCAGAGGTGCCGGCATGGGGGAGGTTATCCTATTTTTTGTTTATTTACATAATTTAAATGTATATCAAATAAAATGTAGGACACCAGCACCTACTAATACATCAATTAATTTATGAAACCACTGTCTTTTGCGTAGGGCACTTGACGCTGAAATAGCTTAACAGCTCCCTGCAAAATAACTCTTCCCACCCTCTTCCCACCCTCTTCCCACCCTCATTCCTAACATTATAGATCAGCACAGGTGAAAGTTGGATTTTCATTTTCTATCCAGTAACTTAAAAAAAAGTTCACTACTTATCACTGCTATGATCTTTCAAAAGGACCTGCCTGAAAATTTCAAGAAAAAAATTTAAGAAACGATCACCTTTTTTATATTTTTAACAGCGTTTTCATGTAGAACATTTTGAGTCAGCATGCCTGCAGCTTCTGTCACATATCTGTAATTTGAAAAATTATACCCACTTTACACAAAAATCTTAAAATAATTAGGCGATGAGGCAATAATCTAAAACACCTTCGAGGAACGTTTTTGGCAAACCAAGTTAGAATAAAATGATTACAGGCTATGGTTTTTAGGTGGACTTTTTAGAGAGAAATTATACATACATGTATATGTTTACAAATGCGTATATTTACATGTAGACAGTCAGTTCTCGTTATTCATAGATTCTGTTTTAGCAAATTCATCTACTTGCTCAAATTTGTCTGTAACCCCCAAACCAGTACTCATGACGCTTTCACAGTCATTTGTGGGCAGCTGCAGAATAGCGGAAAATTTGAGTCACCTGACACGCACGTTCCTGGCCGAAGGTGAACAAGGTGACGCTCTACCTTCCTGTTTCGGTTCTCATACTGTACTCAGGTGTCCTTTGCGTGGTCTATTCAGTGCTATGTTTTTCACATTTTTGTACTTGTTTTCTGTGATTTGGCTGTTTTAAATGGCCTCCAAGCACAGGGCCGAAGTGCCGGCTGGTGCTGCTGAGTGCAGGAAGGCAATGGTGATGAACCTCACGGAGATAAGCTCCGTTCAGGCCTGAGTTAAATGCTGTTGGTCTTGAGGTCAGGGTTGAGGAATGTATGTGAAATCAACGATGTATGTGAAATAAGGTGTCTTCAAACAGCACACACATAAAACAAGGTTACATTTTGGCCAGTTGATGAAAATGTGACCAGAGGCTTGCAGCTTCTGCATTGCTCCCTGGAACAATGGTTCCGTACTCACAAATTTAGTGACAGATTTAGTGATCACGGCAACTTTATATACTACTACGAATGAGATCGACATGCGTATATACACACACACTTTTTTTTTTACTATCAAGAAAGGAAACCTCTGCAACTAGCCTTATTAGTCTCTTTCTCTTTGGGCTCAACTTTTCAGAGCCTGGGTCTGGTTCGTAAGGCAGCGTCTGCTCGGGCTGTGTCGCGTGTGTGACGAGGCCCGGGCTGGCTGGGCCTGGGGATGGGTGCCAGCCCTGGAGTGTCACCACATAGAGGCACAAGACCGAAATCTCCAGCAGCAGATTTCTAGGAAGGAAGGAACCTGCCATTGGGAGGCTCTCAGGACTTGGTGGTGGCCGAAGCAGTGGCTCCAACACCACCTCCGCCCCCACCCCTCCCAATCTCTCTTCCTTCCACGTGTCCCTGGGAGAAGCAACACCTGGAATCCAGAGGCTCACCTTGCAGCTTTGAGCCTCCTGAAGAGGTGTTGGGCCTGACCCACATCATATTTTAAAAATAACTTGGCATTAGTTGTCAGTATTTAAAAGCTGGGCATCTTCCCATGAAAACCTAGGTTCCCAGCCTGTTTGAGAAAATTGAGCAATCCGGCAACACTGGCCCCAAGTTCCCAAGTGAGGGGGTCAGCTGGAGCAGCAGCTTGCCATCCTGAGGGAGGGCACCTGCCCTCCTGCTTTTCTCGGTCACCACCCCACCCACCACACACACACCCCGACCGCTCACTCCCTCCTGTCACTTACCCCGTCCCTGTGGGTGTCTGTGACCCGGTGAGGCTTTTCAGATCGGTCTCCCCTGAGCTTTTGCACCGTACCTCGTTACTGGACATTTAGGAGGGAACTTGAGGAGTGCCCACCCCGACTTTGGGGACTGCAGTCACACTGAGGGACACTACTAAGGGGGGGGTGCTGGGCGGCGTGAGTGGGGCCGGCTGCCCTCAGGCCTTGCTCGGTCCACAGCCCTGCGGAGGCCGCCGGGAGCACAGCTCGGCCGAGAGCCTGATGGACTGCATCCTGGAGAGCTTCGCCTTCCTCAACGCCGACCTCGCCCCACACGAGCTGTCCCTCTTTGGGGGTTCCCGGGGTCCCCGGTGAGTGCACCCCCTCCCAGCGCTGACCGGGTGACCAGCTTTAGCTCCATGCTTCCCGTCGGCCTCCCACTGCCTGATTGGTATTTATTTTGATGATCTATTGCGTCCCCAACCTCCCGTTCCCACGTGCGCACCGTCCGGCGCAGAGCATGTCCTCAGCGACCACGGAGTGAGTGAGATTCGCTCAGCCTGGCCCTGAGGTTTTCACTCCAACCAATGGACTTTTTTCTTTAATCTTAAAAAATAACGGCGGAAGACGCAGCAGGGCCTCCGACCGCGACCTAAGCAACGAGCACAGAGACTGTGCCCCCATCGTCCCCTCTCACCCACGACACCACCTTCCTTCTTGGTCAAGCAGCCTCAGCTGGCCTGCTCACGGGCCATGAGCGCTTCCTGTACCCAAAGCTCAGCGGCACTGACGAGAATCAACAGTGGGAATTTCTCCTCCTCTTCTCCCTGACAGTGGCAGGGTGTGGCCCTTCCACCTGCCGTGATGGTGTCACTTCGCCCTTCCCCAGGCCGCAGGTCCACGCCCGCCACGGAGAGGACACGGTGCTAGGCCCACGGCCGGCCGTGTTTCACTTACCCCTCACTGCCCTGAGCTGGGGGCTCCCGTCCCCACTTTACAGCTGAGTCAACTAAGGCAGGGGAGGCAGACTCGCCCGGTGTCGCAGAGCTAGGGCTTCGTCTGAACCCCAGGCTGCTGACCAGACCACGCACCCTGAGGGTGCCCTGGCCTCCCCAGGCCCTGGGCCCATGCCCCCCACGCCTGTTTTAAGTCATTGCTGCCTTTTGCTGCTTTTGCTTTTCTCTTAGTTTTTTTCCTCAGTTGAACTCCATCTCCTTAGGACCTGGAGTGGGCCTCCCTGACCGGAGCTCTTCAGGGAGGGAGGGTGTCCCCTGCCTCAATCAGAATGGTCACCCGATTCTTCTCAACCCAACCCAGAAACGACAGGACCCCGCCCCCACTGCCGTCGCTGAGAGGGTCATCCAGGGAGCTCACGGCCGGCGCCCCCGAGCTGGACATTCTGCTCACGGTCCACCTCCAAGTCTGCAAAGCTCTGCTGCAGGTGGCTGAGGGACCCAGTGGAGAGTGGAGAGAGAGGGCTGGCTGGGGGGCCTGGGGCGGTGGCTGGGAGTTCTCTCTGCAAATGGCTGATCTTGAAGGTGGCAAGGAGCATGGTGCAGAGACCCTGGGAGCCAATGAGATTGAGGAGGCCCCCCTGCAGAAGGTTCGGGCCAGGCCTGGATGAAGTGCCATGTGGTTCTTGTGCCCCCCATGCCCTGAATCAATAGCCACGACTCTTTCATTTGCAGATGCCAGACTCCCAACTGGCTCGCCTGCAGGGAAAATTTATTGGCTCACAGAATTGACAGGCCCAGAGGTGGGCTTCAGGCCCAGCTGGAGCCAGGGTTTCAAATGTCATCGTGACTGGGCCTCTCCCTCTCTCAGCTCTGCTTTCCTGTGTGGGTTGGCTTCACTCTCAGGCAGGCTGGTCCCTTCTGGTGGCAAAGGTGGCCCCTGGCAGCTCCAGCCCGTATCCTATCGTCTCAGCCACCTTGATGAAGGGGGGATCTCAGGTGACAGTCAGGGAGCTGCCACGGGGGTAGAAAGTGCAGGCGGGGGCATGGCTGAGCCAGCTGGCCGATGCCGTGTCAGACGCCATGTCCGCGCTAACCCAGAGCGCTGTGGGCATCTTCCCAGAAGCTGGCCTCTCCCAATTTGTCGAGGATGGTCCAGGAGTGCCTCCTGGAAGAAGCTGCGCAGCAAAAGCAGGTTCTGGAGACGCTTTCCATGCTCGATTTTGAGAAGGTCAGCCAGGCAGCGTCCATTGAAGAGAGTAAGTAATTAATTGTCTGCCACCGCGGGTTGCTCATGTGACTGGCATGGATGGAGTGATGGGCTTTGAAGTGCAGGGGAGCCTTGTTTCTCTTCCCACGTCCAAGGTTAACTGGAGCCCAGGGGTGCGAGTAGGGGTGGGGGTGGGGGGAGGACGGGGAGGGAGGCGGCACAGCCTTGGAGTGAGCAGCACATGCTGTGTGACTCTGGGCAAATGATTCACCTCTCTGAGCCTCAGCTTCCTCATCTGTATAATGGGGAGGCCGCTGGGTAGCGTTCAATGACGTAACCCCCTGAAACACTCTGGGCACGCAGCATGCCCTCGAGTATACAGCAGCCGTGACCCCCTCCTGTTCCGGTCCCCCCTAAGGAGAGGCGGTGACAGGAGCTGCCCCAGGTCGTCGTGAGGGATGTGGGTGGTGGCCGAGACTGCTTGTCCTTTATGTGTCACGCTGGGGTGGGAAAAGGACGCTGCATGTCGCCCCCCCAGCTCTCCGACCTCAAGTCCCAGTGGAGGGAACCCTCTGGGCCGCCAGTCGGGTCTCTGAGCCTGGGCTTTCAGTCATTCCGCAGGCCGCGCGGAGGAAGGGCTGCCTGAAGCTGTGGAGCGGGTGCACGGCGGCCGGCGGGGTCCTGGCCTGCTCCGCCACCTGGACCAGCTCAAAAAGACGGTCCTGCATCGAGTCAGGGGGAAGTACCCGGGACAGCTGGAAATAGGTAGTTTCCCCCTGCCTGCCCCACGAGAGGTGCTGTGCTGAGCCTCTGGGGCCTCCGGTGTTGTCACAGTGGGGCTCACTTGAGCCCTAGCGTCACCTCTGCAAGTGTCTTCAAGGCACCGAATGGAGGCCGGTTTGTCAGCATGACTACGAGCTCCCGGGGGTGGCGTCTCGGTCTCCCTCACGGCCTTCTCCTGTGCTTTGCCAGCATGCCGCAGGCTCCTGGAGCAGGTGGTCAGCTGCGGCGGGCTGCTCCCTGGAGCTGAGCTGCTGGAAGAACAGACTGTCACCTGGTTCCAGTTTCATAGCTACCTGCAGAGACACAGTGTCTCGGACCTGGAGAAACACTTTGCCCAGCTCACCAAGGAAGGTAGGGGCTGGGGAGGGCAGCAGGCGGCCTCAAAGCCACACAGCAGCAAAGGCGCTTCCGTCCATGGACCCCTCTGTCCCCATGCTTGGAAGCCAGCTTCTCAAAACCAGAGTTCCCTCCAGTCGGGCTTTGGGAAGCCCGACTTACACTCCTCCATGTAGTGAGATGAGGTCCTGGGGAAGGTGGCTTTACTCAGCACCGGATGGGGCAGAGCTGGTGTGACGGTGAGGCTTGCCTGGCCGGAGCCCCTGAAGAATGGGCTGGGGTTTTATTAATTTTCAGGGTGTATTTGATTCCTTTGCTAGAAGGCCATCCTGGAGACTCCAGGAGGCCCCTCCGCCAGCAATCCAGACTGGGCCTTGGTAATCACGTGAGCTTGCTCCGGGGTTTACTTCTCCATGGCTAATGGCAGTGGCCAGACAGACCCGCAGCTGTACGGCCCGGCTGTGATCGGTAGGGCACCCTTGGCCCACTTCTTCTGTCTCTCCTAGTAACACTCGTGGAGGAGCTGAAGTGCACGGGGCAGGCCAAGACGATCCGGAAGCTGCAGGGGAAGAAGCAGCTGGGCCAGCTCCAGCCCCTGCCCCAGACATTAAGGGCCTGGGCGCTGCTCCAGCTGGACGGGCCCCCCAGGGTGTGCAGGGCAGCCAGTGCTGGCCTGGCCAGCGCAGCCAAGAACAAGAGCTTTCGGGAAAAGGTACGGTGTGAGGAGGCTGCGGAGGCAGGCCCGGGCCAGCCGGCCCGCAGCTTTGTATGCTGGGGGGAGGTGGAGGGAGCAGACTTTCTCTCTCGGAAAAGCGCAAAGGCCTGAGTGACTGGGGCCTGCTTTCCCTGCAAGGTATTTGGACTTAGGGCTCATGGAAACATGAACATGGCTCTCCTAACGCCATCACCATTGGAAGCACCAGCCCTGGGGCGGGGGGGGGCGGGGGCGGGATCTGAGTGGCCGGGCCATCACCTGAGGAACCCACAGAACCCCATGCCACAAACTTACCTCACTCATCTCAGTGTTTCTGAAGCAACATATCTATTTGGTCTCTGAGATGTCATTTGCATGTAGAATGTTTCTTAGAATTCTGGTCATTTACTTGCAATTTGTATGTGTGGCTGGTCGGTTCACTGCGTCCAGTCCATTTTTAAATCGAGAAATTGGACTCCTCTGCCTCTTAGGTTTCTGGACCTGTGACTATTCTAGATTTAAGGAACCAGCCCCAGGCAACGCTGGGGTCTTGCTAGTCTCTTGGGCTCGCCTGAGAGCCAGGCATGTCCCCACATGCTCACTACAATTTTGTGAGCAAGTGCCAGCTTTATCTTCCAGCTGAAGTGGCTTGACCATGGAGGGGGGCGGGGTTAGAGCTGTGACTGGAAGCAGGTGACAAGGGGAGAGAGATGCTTTTCCCCCTCTCCTGAGGCAGCAGGCTTGCCACTGCCAGCCTACGAGGACAGCTCCCTGTGCATTGTTTTGTTGTCCCCGCTGGGTATCTGATTTCTCTGATTCAACACTTTCACTAGATAACAGTTTTAGAATGCATTTCATACACATTTAAATTTAAACAAAAAGAGTTTTCTTCATTTGATTACCACCAGCCCGGGGGCCAGCATTTTAAGAGGTAAAGTCAATATTGTAGTATTCACCTCCGGACTGTGCGCCCGGCCCAAAGATTAATGGATCGTGGCCTGATTTTTTAGAGAAAGCTAAGAAGGGCTCGACTTACTGTCAGCCGTTGGAGGATCGGCCGTGGGCGCCGCGGACTTTGCTTTTGGCGCCTCCCGCTTTATTCACAGCAGCCTTGTTTCCCAGGCTTTGCTCTTCTACACCAATGCCCTGACCGGGAACGACGCGAAACTCCAGCAAGCCGCGTGCGTGGCGCTGAAGCACCTCAGGGTGAGTTTGACCTGTGTCCGCTGGTGACGAAGAGGCTTCCTTGTGGTTAATGTGAAAGCTAGTTCATTTCAAAATGATTCCACTGGGACCAAAAAAAGTAAATCACTGCCAGATAAAAAGCAGCCGAAGAGCTGGTTTTAGAGGAGCGGGCGTCAGCTCCACTGGCGGAGACCCTCGACAAGTGAGCATTTGCTCTGGCTCTGCGTGAAGCAGCAGGTGGCCCGAGGGACTCAATTCTTGAGCTCAGATTATATGCTCTAATGTCAATCGAAAAATTTATGAAAGCACAACAAACTCGTAGGAAAAAAGTGTAATCAAAAACAGACTCACAAATATAGTGGACAATTTGGTGACGGATAGAGGGGAGCGGGGTTGGGGGGCTGGGAGAATGGGGTGAAGGGTTAAAGAAGTACAAATTAGCAGTTGATAGACAGTCACAGGGATGGGGAGCACGGCAGAGGGGATGCAGTCAGCATTAATGTGATGGCTAAGTGGAGGGCCAGGGGAGGGAGGGAGCAATTGGGGGCATTGTTTTATGAACAATATAGGTATCTAACCAATGCACTGTGTATACTTGCAACTAATTTAAATAAATTTAAAAACCAAAAAAAAAAGAGTGTAAAATATAGAAGCTTAAGTTATGTCATCCTAATACTTAGTGGAAGCTACTGACATTTTGGTGTATTTGTGGGTGGGTGTGACCATGTTAAATTGTTGATAATATTAAATATAGTTTAAAACCAGTAAACAAAATAAGAACATTCTGTGTTAGACTGGAAGCGTTTTTGGAATTCTTTAGGGTCTACCAGATGTACCTTAACTTAACCTTCTCCCCTACTCTCATATTGTAGAAAATTTGGGTTCATCATCATCCACTTTTTTATTATAATGTCATTATGAGCATAATTGCGCATAAAGCTTTAACCTCACTTGCATTTAGAATTCCCATTTTAAAAAATTGCCAATTTACTAGATGAATAGTCCAATAGATTAAACTCACTTACGCCATTAATTCTGGGATGAATCGACAGGAAATTCTAGGACCATATGGTTATAATCAGATAACCAGGATGAGGGGAAGGGTGCCCAGTGGAGGGAGCTGAAGTACGCTCTGGTCCTTGGCCCTGGAGAGCAGCCTGGGGATCGGGGTACCTGAACTTGGCCCTGACAGCTGCTCCCCCAGTCTAACCTGGAGGGGAGTGTTTGAGAGCAGGGAGGAGGTAGGAAGGTCCACAGGGAAGCAGGTCTCATTTTCAAGACGGGTCTTTCAGAAGTTGTCCATCCGTCAGTGCTAACGGCCTGGCTCACTGGCAGGTGTCAGGATTGAAAAGATGAGATGTTTCCAGTGGTGCTTCTGATAACCTGAGGCCACATGAGAAACCTGGAAGCCTTCAGCAAAGGGCGGGGTCAGACCCCATAGACCGTGCCAGGGCCGGTCCTGCAGGGCAAATAAAAGTGGATTCTACCTGCTACTTAAAATGTTCTCTAAAGGGCCCTCTTTCCCCCGACCTCAAACAGGGCATCGAAAGCATTGATCAGATTGCCAGCTTGTGCCAATCCGACCTGGAGACTGTGCGCGCAGCGGCTCGGGAGGCCACGCTGTCATTTGGTAAAGAGCAGCGTCAAACGTCACGTGCAGTGCGGTGGGGTTCTCGGGTCCTTAGACTGTGCTAGCGTGGCCTCAGCCAGCTCTCTAAAGACACAAAATAGCACACGAGTCGGGCACTGCTAGCGACCCACTTAACTGTACTCAGCTAAGGCAGGTTTCCTTTGTGGCTGAGGTGGTAAGAAATGCTTTATTTCCTAATTCAGTTTACGTTCCTGGGGAATGAAAGCAGATGCAAGGTACGTGATTAAAGTTCAGTAGACCCTGTCTTGGACACCAGAGCAAGGAACTGGGTCCATGAGAGGCGGCCAGTGAGCTCCCCAAATGCTCTCGCCCCTGCCCATTAGAGCAGCACCTGAGACCCAGGCAACAGTGAATGCTAAGGTCCCCCTGGCCTGCCAGAGTAGGAAACACTGAGGCAGGGGACAACACAGCGACAAATCACTTTCACGTTTCAGGTGAAAAAGGACGCTTCGCCTTTGAGAAGATGGACAAATTTTGCTCAGAACAAAGAGAAGATGACTTTTGCCAGGAGGCAGATGTTGAAATCACAGTATTTTAAAGAGCCTCAGTGGATGAGCTAAATCTGACATCTTTGTTTTTGCTGCTGCCCAGTCTCGACACAGGACCTGAGCTTTGGGTGGGGGCATGCTGTGTGCTCCCAGAAGTGTGAGCTGGCCAGAGCTGCTCCCTGAGTCTTGGGACCAGTTGCAAAGCCCTAGGTCACAAGTGGGACTTTTGTACAGGAGCAGAACAAGGCAAGGCATGGCACTTCGGAGGCTGCACAGCTTCAGTCAGCCTCTGGCTTTGAGACTGTCTGACCTGGGATGCAGCAGAGCTGGGTCAGCATCAGTCGGCCACGCTTCGAAGGGGTCGAGGCCAGCAGGTTGAGGCTTGGAATGAGACTCCAAGATGAACATGCTGAACTTGAGGTCTCCCTGCAGGTCAGCTGGCGCGGCATTTCTGGTTTGGCTGAGGAAGCCAGCAGGCCGGTGAACGGTCAAGGCATTTCAACTGCAGCGAGCTGTCACTTGGGTGGGCTGGGGAAGATGGGAAGGTACAGAGCAAGGGTTTCTATAACTCACTCTTAACCCGAGCCGTGGCCTGCTGCCTGTGGACCTTATTTTATGTTCACTGTGTTCGACAGCACAAAGGAGAAGCCTTGAGTGTCATGTGAGTAAAAGCATTCACTTGGAGCTCACGAAACGGAGTCCAACTTTTGAAGCAAGAGAACTTAGAGTCCACTAAATGAATTGCTTCAGAAGCCATAAGCTGGTGTGAAGAAAGATTTTACTGAAGAGAATGTTGCTTTAGAGAAAGAAAATTAGTGTCTTATTTAAGTTTATTAAAAAAACTCAAACATATCCTGCGCTGTTTGTTAATAACGTCACAATAACACGGGGCTCGAATGTGGCTATCGACCGACAGTGGCATTGGAGGGCTTCGTAACTTAAACATTCTCACTTAGACTTCCTGTATATATTTTGTGCTTTTCAGTTTAACTTAGTATTTATTTGCCTTGTTTCTATGTTCAATTTTCTGAAATTTCAATTAAAAAATGGTTTGCATTGGTGTTTCGCTTCACCTGAAAAAAGTCGACAGTGGTAGTTTCCTCAAACATCCTGCTGGGGAAGAAAGTTGCCCCTCCTGTCCCTTAACACTCTCTCTCCAATGTGACACCGTGAGGCGGCTTCTCCCACAGGAGTTGGCTTCAGGGACTCACGTGCTTTCCGAAGGCTCTCTGGGGACCCCCTGCTAGCCGCGCGATGATGGCCCACGTCTGGTCTTTAGCCCCACTGGATTTCTGCTCCAAAGTTACAAATTTGGTTTTCCGTTTATTCCCCCACACTGCTCTTCTACCTCTTCACCAAAGCTTAGATGCCATTTTTTGTATGTGAAACGAAGACTGAAGTGACAGAAGGCAGGACGCCATCCAGGTCCCCGCAGTCCTCCACACGTGTTGAGTGGTCACCTGACCATGACTGTTTCTCAGTTCCACAGATCCTGCCAGGAGGCCGAAACTAAGCGGTTTACCCTACAGCCAGCTTTGAAAGTCATAAAACCTTGAAAGACTTAAGGGCATTCTTTGTACACTTTCTGCAACATCTTTGCAAGTCTGAAATTATTTTAAAACAAAAAGTCAAAAACAATGACTTTAGGGGGAGACTTTCGTTTTGCACAGGCAAGGCTATGCAAATTTTGTATATATTATTTCCATGTCAATTCTACATCAAATGTGGACCGCATGGAGGAACTGAGATGTAACAACCACTGTGTCTTACAGGAAGTTGGCTAAGGCAAGGGCCCCTGAACCCCAGGCTGTGGACCGGAACCAGTCCGTGGCCTGTCAGGAACCGGGCCACACAGCAGGAGCTGAGGCGGCAGGTGAGCGAAGCGTCATCTGCATTGACAGCCGCCCCCCAGTGCCTGCATCACCACCTCAGCTTCACCTCAGATCGTCAGGCACTAGATTCTCATAGACACACCGGTCCCTGGTGCCAACAAGCTTGGGGACCACTGGGCTAAGGGACACGTTCTTGAGGTCTGAACGGTTCTTCGAATATGTTCCAAAGGCGGGTTCTATCGCTCCTGAAGGAAATGCGCTGATGCCTGATATGCTAAATAAACCCCCAGAAGGGAAAATGCCCTGAGCCCAAAGGCACTTGCACCCCTGGGAGGCACTTGTGATAACCCAGAACCCCGCTCGACCGACGCCATCTGCTTCGCCGTCGGTGGCGTTGGAAAGCGACAGGAGCCGTGCATCCTGGTTTAGGCCCATTAAGTGAAGAAATGGGAAGCATTCCAAATCCACGTTTCTTAGAAAAAAAATTTTTATTGTTGCAACTAAAATGCAAACCCATCATTTATATGGCAAGTTGGAAAAACTGTACAGTTTGACAGTTCTGTGAGGTCACAGAAGACCCTGAGACGTGCCCCCCGCCCCACCCCATCATGCATCCACGTATACACACACCTGAAAAGGTATTATACCAAAACACCTCGCTTTTTTTGTTTGTTTTAATTTTTGTACAAATGGTTTCTTTCCATGGCCATTGTAAAAAATAATGACCTGCTGAGTAAATATAGGCTTAAGGCATATAGTAGAGCAGCTCCTACTTCTCTAACATACGTTTAACAAGATGGAGAGCCATCTGTTCTCCAAGGAGAGGAGGTTAAACCAGTATATCCATTTTTGAAATGCTACTATATATACACACCCAAACTACTACATACATATATAGGACTTCGAAAACAAACAGACAAGCCCAACTCAAAAATGCGTACGGCCTGGCACCTCAGCCTTATCCACACCTCACCAGGGCTCTGCAGCGCGATGCCTCAAAGTTCCCACCGAGAGTTTCTCTGCACCGGCTTCTGACACGTGAAAGGCAAAATGTGAAAATGCTGGCGAAACAGCAGCTCGTGAGCTACGGCTGCCTTTTTTTTTTTTTTTTCTTGTTAAAAAAGCCACTTGGCGTGGGGGTCTTAAGCTCCCCTCGCAGGAAAAGTCGTGAGCACCATCAGTCCCCAGGATTCAAGGGCGGGGCAGTCACGCCTCTCTCCACAAGGCCCTCCGGACTGAGACAGCGGCAGGCTGACTCTAAGGGACTGTTGTCATGCGGGCTGCTTCAAGAAGGGTGGTTTCCCACAGTCGCCTTGGCTCTGCGTCACGGTCTGCTCAAGACGAGTGTGAACTTGGGACGGTGGAGGCCGATCCCAAAGGCGTGTGTGCGGGACACCCTGCTTGCCTAAACGTCCAGAGCGTGAGGTGTGACTATGGCTTCCCATCCCCTTGGAATGTCTGAGTTACAGTGGGACCCAGCTGGACCAGGACAGGCCGGGCCTCACTAGGAAGTCACCAGAGTGTCATGCCAGGAATTAGGCAAGTATCTATTACTGGAAAACATCCTTCTATCGCTGAACGGCCATTAGCTCAGCAACAGTCTAAGGAACCACAGCCACGCAATGATCTGATCATGCAAAGGGAGACTGGACTTGTACACGGGGCACTTCAGTAAGCAGAGATCTAAGTATTTCAAGCACGTGGTATCTGATTAGGACACAAGAAGACTGAACATGCATTCTAATACACACGGGGAAAGCGGTGACCGAGAACAAGGTTCTAGCAGATAACCGGGAAGGGGAATAACTGTAATCTCTCGTCGTGTATCTTAAATATCCAAGTATTCATTATATATTATCCCACTGTTCTATAAACATATGCCCAACCTCTTCTCACATTACCCACAGTCACGAAAGAACCACCGCTTACGACCGTCCTCCTTCCTAGTATTGGTCTGAAGCAGCGGCCTCGTGGCAAAGTCTCGCGTTCCCAGCACTACCTGAGGGTTTATTATTGTACTTTCTGAGAAAGCCTTTGATGCAAGGCCGACATCGACACGTCTGAATACATTATTAGTTTAAGAAAATGCTAGTGCACTATGGATGCCTTTGGGGGAAAAAATTAAAAAAAAAATAAATATGGAGTGGAGAGGCTCACAACACGCAGTCTCCGCGGAGGGTCTGGGGGAGGGTGCTGTGTGCCACCCGCCCGGGATGCGCCAGGGCACACCAGGGGGGAGCACTGGGCCGGGCCGGCCCCTCGACTCGCGCCACCAGCATGGCTCTCTCTGTGCCACCAGCATGGCTCTCTCTGTGCCACCAGCATGGCACTCTCCTTTACTCTCCTCAAAACATGGGTTGTGGATCTGGTATTGAAGGAAGGGGAGGAGGGAAAAACTAAAAGGATAAGGGTCAGGACCAACGGCCCGGGGAGGGCGGCTTTAGTGCAGGGCAAACGTCTGTCTGGGTGGCGCTGGCTACGCTGGGCAGCGGCCCTTACCTACCACAGCATGCCGGCCAGACGAGAGCTGGCTCTGCGAGCAGAGGCGGGCAGGGGGTGGAGTGGAGTGGAGGTGAGTCAGACTATGTGTTGCTGTTGAACAGGAACTGGAATGAAACCAAACATTTTCAGATAAGCCCAGACCCACCCCGTGGAGCCGCAGGCTCGTGTACTACCCAGGCCGCCCCAGTCCCCCAGCCACTCCAGAGAAAGGGGTTTTGATTTTTAATTTTTTTTTTTTTTTTTTTTTACAATAGACCCCTTCCCAAAAATCACCCCTAGGGAAGAAACTTTACGTGTTGCCAAACCATCTGATGCATTCGAAGATGGCCGCCAGAAAAGAGGTAAAATATTGAAAATGATAAAAAAAAGTCTCGTGAGGTGATTTTCAGGACATTTTGAAGCTAATCTTCTCTCTTCTCTTTACTTTGTAATAAAAGCAACACACTTCTCATGTGTGGATTTTTACTAAAATGGCATTTACATTCCAAATCAAGTGGAAACTGCTCCTTCTGGATCTCAATGGCAGGGTGAAAAGCCGGTGGCCACCCTGTGGTGACCGCTGACCCTGAGGCAGGAGCCTTGAGGAACCCGTTTTGGAGGATGGGTGATGAGGGCAGGACATGAGCAAGATGACCGTAACGAGAAAGGGCGGATGGAGGGATGAACGCTGGAAATCCCGTGGGGACACCCTGAGCAAAAGCACAAGCCGGGTTTTGTTTTCTAGAGATGGCCTTTTGCTGTTTTTCTTCTCAAAATGGGAAAGCCAGCAGGCACTGTCCTAGCTCAGTGCACGCACAGCAGGGGAAGCGACTGAGCAAGACAGTGTCCGAAACCCTTAAACCCTCTTCTCCAGAGGACTTTACATTCCTCAAAGTGTGGGAGTCTTTCCCTGGGGAATCAAATAGAAGTCGTGTATCAGGTTATACCACCTAAGGGTATATGAAAGTTTCCTAAGTGCCTAGTCTTCCTTCGTCCCTCCCACCCCCCTGCCCCCGGAAATAACAAAAAGCTGTTTTTTATAAAGGTTAAAAACAACAATGTGTTGTAATCCTTTTTTCCAAAAACAAATGAAAAAAAAAAAAAACCCCAAGAAAAACAAACAAAAAACAAACAAACAAACAAAAAAAAACAAAGAAAAAGAAAGAAAGAAAAATGAAGAGAGAGAGATGTATTTGGCATTTTCTCTACTTACTCCTGAATAGGTTAAGGCCCTGAGATTAGACTGTTGTATTCTTGGGACCACAGGGCTCCTTAAAACCCCAGTGCATCAATCCTCAATTCTCTCTTGTTAGCCCTTCACAGTTCCAGACTTTAAAAAACTTTGATCTGTTTCTTCTGAGACTGGCTCAGATCCTTGCACAGCACTGAATGCTACCGCCAGGCTGTCGGCCAGTGCTTTCTGTACACGTGGTCTTGCCGGCACGTCCGTCAGTGAAAACATACCCTGTAGCAGAGGTACGCGCCAGCTGTGAGGACCGTGGCCATGCACATGTTGACCAGGAAGGGCTTCCAGTGAGTCAGAGCCTGGTCCTGCTCCTCCTTGGGTGGCGACGGCTCCCCCTGAGCAGGACCTGCCCCCACGACCCGCCTTCTGACTTCAGTGTCTTGACTCGTGCTGAGGAACGAGAGGGGCAGAGAGGGGTTACTCATTCTGGGGAAAACAATGGCAAGGAAGTTATTACCGCGGGAGGAATTCTAGGAAAAAAGGAGCCACGTGTAAAGAGAGCCTGGCGATGCTGACACGGGCCTGAGGCCTGCGTGTCACTGCCACCCCACCGCCTAGGGGCCCGGGTGGCCCTCGCAGCCACCGCAGGGTTCTGGAGGCCTGTGGACTCCCGAGCGATGGAAGATAGGTGAGGGTCCGAGGAGAAATGCAGCCGCAGGTGCACAGACAGCTGCTAACTGCCCTGGGCCCGCAGCCTGCACAGCATTGCCCCGCAGATCGGCGAAGGCGATGGTGTGACCCACAAGCCTCCGCTTCCTCTCTGGGCACCCCGACAGGTGCTGATACTTGGGCCCTCGTTGCTGCCCACGGGAAGACACACGCATTCCCACTGAGCCTCCTCCACCCTGTCCGAGGCCCGAGTCCCCAGCACCGACGCAACTCGACCAGGGGGACCTTTTGCCAGGTGTCCTGTGTGCGGTCCACCAGCTACCTCCACAGTGGTGAGCCAGAGAGACCCAGTGGGGACAACGTGCAGTGTCCTCGCGCCAGGGCTGTCTCAGGAGAAACCAGCAGAGGCCCATGAGCCCATGAGGAGCCAGGCCCTTCTTCTCCCTTTCCACCTCTGCCTCCTCCAAGGAGGCCCTGGCCACAGGCAGTCCGGTCTCACTCGTGCACCCGCAGCCTTTCCACCAAGCGGCATCTTGGGACTGGCAGGGCTGCCTGAGGCACCACCTCCCCAGGAGACGGGGTGGCCACACGAAGCACCTGATTTCCAGCGCCCGCCCTGCGAGGCCCTGGCTGCAGGGCCGAGGCCTGTGTGCACGCGGGCTCCCGCTGCTGTCCAGCGGCACTTACGCTGCTCTTGGTGCAACTCTATTTTTTTCTGAAACTCTGGCTTTTAGCTTCCCGAATCCTACTCCCCACCTTCATACACAGAATATGAAAGACACAAGTCCCAATGAATGAAGAAACCAGAACACATGGCACGAATGAGACACAAGTCATTTGCAGTTCCTTTTCTCACGCCCTTGGCTGTCTGTGAGCCCTCGGACGGAGCACACTGGCCCACCCTGACGACGCTGACAGGGGCCCTGGGAAGGCAGGCACAGTCTTGTGGAGCGGCGGTCACTGAGCTGTTGTTCCGCATATCAAATGGCACCTGCTCTGGGAGGGCCCACTGGACAAGTGGTGTTCCTGCAATAAGGACCAGCTGCATGAAGGCCCCTGGGGACTCAGGTTCACGGGTCAGGACTCGGGCCTGACAATCAGCCTTTAGGAAGGTGCTCGGGTGAGATTCTAATGCTTAATTTCGCCAGCGGACCCCCTGCGGTGCACACGGCCTGCAACTTGCTTTCTCAGGAACTGCCACATCAGTGCAGCCAGGTCCCCCCGTTTTAACAGTTGCAGAGCATCCCCACACAGATGTAAAACAGGATTTATCTAATTTCTCACCTCTGCCTGAACACCTCTGAACGCTGAGAAGTGCTGTGGGCTAATTTCCTATATGCATACAAATAGGAGGTCGAAATGTGCAGTCATCTTAAACTGCTCTCCAAAAACCAGGTACTAAGGGCACCGCCTCCACAGTCTCAGGCTTGAGCTAACTCTCATTCATTCTTCAAGCTTCCACAGTGCCACCTCCTGCAGGCAGCCTTCCTTGACCACCCAGGGAGGGCTGAGTGTCTCTTCTGTAAGGCTGGACACCTCAGCGTACACCTCATCACATCAATGTCCACAGGCTCCCACTACAATCTGCCGTCCCCTTCCCAACAAGATGGTCTAGAACACAGACCAGGAGATAACAAACATATTGTTATCTCAGTATTTCGCATGTATCGATAGGTACTCGATAATCTTTGTTAAACTGTAAAGAAGCAAAATGGCAATCGATTTAATCAAGACTACGTGAAAAGGTTTAAATTCCCAAAGGGACCATTTTGGAGGCTGAAGGTACGTGGTCAAGCCTGGACATCACATTACTGGACTGGCCAGAAGCTGGAGAGAAAGGCACTGTCATCATCATTGGGCAAGAAGACCTGACTACCAGTAATCTGAACTCCTGATTCCAATGAGCACCACAAGGTGGTGCTAGAATCCCACTGAAGTCTCACTTCCCAGGGCTGACCCCTGACCAAGTACCCGGGCTCCTCCAGCCAGGGCAGGAGGAGCCCCATGCCCCAAGAGGGGGCTGCATCCACAAGGTTTCAATATCAACAAGTGTGTCTAAAACAGGTCATTTCTCCCCACCCCAATATGCCAGGCCCTTTCACATTACCGTTCCATGCAGGGGACACTTAAGGGTGTTATGGTTTCTTCCTTGATGGGGCCATCTTCTTTATCTTCCTCAGACTCATCCTTTACCCACTGGTGGTTTGGAAAGAATTCCTTGCATTTCCCATTGTGTGGCTCCAGGATTCGTTTGGGTGGCCGGGGAGGTGGGGGGACATGCTCAGGTGGGGGCTCCAGGTCCTCGTGGGAGAGCTCCTTCCATTGCTCCTGGAAAAAGCAGCAAGACGAAGTCCCATGAGTGCTCACGTCTGGCTAATCTGTCAGGAAATCTCTCCTTTCAGGGAGCAGAGGTGATGGCTTGGTGAGGAGCTCTCTCTGCTTCTCGGGTCTCCAGACATGAATTTGAAAGATGAATGCTTTTGAAAATAAAATCTACTTTCTCTATTCATGTTCTCTATGTGAGCGTTTCGAAGGCCGAAGAAATTGGAAGCTGGTAAACATCCCCACGACTTTTCGGCTATTGAAACATGAAGGACAGCTATTCACTCTGACACGTGACAGCGCTCGAACTTTCATAACCGACGGCCCCCATCTTCAGACAAAAATTGAAAATCCACACACCTGGATCAAAACGAAAGCAATGCTCACCTGCACTGAAGAGTCTCCCATGATGAATTTGGCACCTTCGATCACAGCTAGGTAGGAGAAACGGAGCTGGTCTGCTGTCTGGATCAGTCCCATTCGAAATTTCCTCATTTCTAACAGGACTTTCTTGATATCGACAGAAGAAGGGTCTTTCCTCTTGTCCATCTGAAAGCCAGAAAGAGACACAATTCAGCCGGCCCTGACTCTCCGTGCCTGCTCAGGAAAAAAAACACAATGGGGAAGGCAGAATTCTAGAAAATGTGAGCAAATGCAGCAAAATCGGAAACACTTGAGCACAGGGGAAAGAATGAGACGGGGATTCTCTGGATCTTCCTGGATTATACTTTAAAATTAAGAACATCCCTTCGAACAAAGCTTTGGGGATGAAGCTATTTTCATGGGAGGGAAGTTGTTAAAAAGTGAAGATCAGAGCTCGTTTTCTGCAGAGATAATACCAGAGATACCAGGCCAGAGGAGAGCTTTACATGTGGCCCCGTCTCTTCCTGGGGTCTCCAGGGGCCTCCTTACCAGCAAGAGACAGGTGTCGGCCAGACAGAAGGTCCCCGACCTGCCGATGCCAGCGCTGCAGTGTACCACGATGGGGCCATGCTCCCGGCTGAGTGACCCCGACTCGCGGACTTTGAAAAGAAAGTTCAGGAAAGAGGCTGGAGATTCGGGGACTCCAAAGTCAGGCCACGTGGTATAGTGGAAATGTAAGATCTCTCGAGTTTCTTTAGACTGAAAGAGAAAAATACTCATGGCGATTCTAAGATAATCATTTGTACGGAAATCATGAACTCCAAGCGCGCGAAGTGCCTTTCCACACATGCACCCTAAGAGCAGCTTTAATTCTCAGATCTGCCAAAGGCCGTGCACTCAGTCCACAAATACCAGGCACCGAGGTGCCAGGCGGCCCTGTGCTCGACCCCAGACTGCAGGCTGCTCCTGCTCTGACGTCACTTCCGGTAAGATGGAACAGTCTCGCCCACCTCTTTCTCCAATGTCCCTCTCACCTCTGCTCTCTTTATGGTTACAACGGATTTCTCTCTGCCCCACGATGCTGCTGCACTGCCACCCATAATCTTGTCATAAAGCTTTCACGTGAAACAGTGAAAATGTAACTGCGCGTGTGGCACCAGCTTCAGGTAACTCAGGGCTTCACAAGGGTTGTCATTTTAGAGAAAAAAGTAACCGACTCAGTCTCCAAAGACTGAAGGTTGCCACATGGGGCTCAATATTCGGCTGAACAGATGGTCCCCAAACGTGTACTTCGTTTCAGCACTGAGCACATCAGCACTGAGCACATCAGCACTGAGCACATCAGCTCGCTGAGTTCTCACACCAACCCTTCAAGGCGTGTATTCCCATTTTCCAGATTAGGAGACTGGGGCTCAGGGGCCGACCTGCCATTCGGTGGGGGAGCAGGAGCTTCAATCTGACTTTGTCTGACTCCAGAGCCTGTGTCCAGAGCCTGTTGCAAGCAACGTTTGAAAGGGGGACCCTGGCCCGGTCTGCTCCCAGAGAGGCAGAAAGAATGGTGTCTGGTGCCGTATCCACTTCTGCTCCTTCTCTGAACCATGAGAGTCCGCTCCTGAAGTGGACACTTGGTCTCCAGCAACTATGATCGAAATGTAGTTCCCATAGGGAGGAGAGCACTCGCGGTCTTTACTGAGTTAAGGACACACAGTGCACGGGAACCAGTCACGGGGTGAGCAAGGCCTGCAAGCCTTGCTAAAGTGGGCACAGGAACAAGGTTGGAAGATAAGGAGCCAGGCCAGCCTTGAGCGTCTCCTGCTGTGCTGTGCTAAGGGCCAAGGCAGTGCCTCGGTCACCTGGAGAGTGGCTGGTGGAGAAACGTTTTGGGCCAGAGACCCACTTACGACACTGTCCTCCTACATCGTGCCAGGCACGATGAAGTAAAGACGGCACACTCGCCTTCCCAGAGCTTACAACTTCGTTATAACCACCTTCCCTGACCCCGGTGTGATGGAAACGTGTGAAAGGGCCTTCGATAAACGCCAACGACCCAACACCAGAAAATACACATATTCATCCCTGCACCAGCTATTACTGTGACATACGCTGGGATCCTTCCACAGAACCGGGAGAAAGCTGCCTGTGACTTCGGGATAATTTATAGAATTATACTAGGCAATTCCGTTCTTTCCTCCCTAAAAACTATTTCCTAATACTTTTAATGGCTTAAAAGAGAAATGCCTTTCCATTTTTTATTTTTTTTTGGAAAGAAAAGCACTTAAAATGTATTTTAATGTATTTTAAAAACTGAGTAAGAAGAAAACATGCCAAAAATAAATTTTCTTTTAATCCTGAAGAAGGTGTGGGTTATCTCCTGTTTAAAACCTCCCTCATGCGTGCCCATCTCTTTCTCAAAGAATTCATTTTAGACCTGTGCTTGAACGGATAAATACACATGTCTGAGAATTGGTTTTTTAAAAGTGAAGTCTGTTAGGCAAACAGATCCTACAAATGTTAAGGTGTCTGAGCAGCAGTATCTGCTCCGCCGCCCAGTACGAACCTCTTCTGCTCGGTCCAAATTCCGTTTCCCTCAACAAAGAGGGGAAATATTCTCCAGAGTTTACCAGAAGTCACTCTTAATATGTCAGGCTTGCCAATGCTAAAAAGCATTTAAAAAAAAAAAGGCTACTACATAATTCTCCAGGCACATTCCAACCCGCTGCCAACATGATTCCTGAAAATCCTCCATCAAACCCCTCCATAAATCACTCCCTTAGAGCCTCCGTGCTTGGCTACGGCCGGCCCCACGGCTCCAGCGTTCTCACTCACTTACTCACACACACACACACACTCTCTCTCTCTCTCTCTCTCTCTCTCACTCACACACACTCACACACACACACACAGCACTCGGATAGACTGCACTGCTGCATTCCTTAAAAGCCACACAATTTTAACCTGTTCTCTACATGGCAGTAACCTGTGCTAAGTTCTAGATCTTACTTCGGCCAGTAATTCAACAACAGAAGTCATGATGGCCATAAAACACCCGAGACACGAATGTCACTCAGAAGCAGGTCCTTACACTTCGACACAGCCCCAAGAGTCCCAATCCGCAGGATCATATCATCGCCGCACCTTTACTTCGGGCCGGTCACCTGTGCTGCTCCTCGAATAATCCCGCGTGACTTCGACCCCACGGTACTGCTAACCCTTCCCAAGCACGTGCCCTGGGCCTGGTGCCGCTCGACACTTCACATATTACCTCTTCCACCCTGACCGAAGAGGAAACAGACAGCGTGGGTCGTGATGCCCCTTGCCCAAAGTCTGGCAGTTCGATACAGCAGGCCAGGATCGAGCCCAGGAACTCTAGTTCCAGAGGGCGGTGGCTGACCATCGTGTCTGAGGGTGTCCCCAGGAGCTACCTTGAGCTCCCTCCACTGTCTCTGGTACTAGCAGGGGCTCTCATCCTCAGAGTGACGGCTCCAGGTGAGTGATCTAGAATCCCCACGCCTGGGCCTTCTGTGGAGCTGTTCCTTAGCACAGTGCCTTGCCACGTTCCAAGACCATCTTTTAACGATAGCCAGCAAACGGTGTCATAAATTCTTCCCACGACAAATAAACCCAAGACCTCACCTAGAAACCTTACATTGGCTATGGAACCGGGGTCAGCCTAGAAGGGCCCTCCTTCCCTCCGCTTCAGACGAAAGAAGCTGTGGGCCATCAAAGAAGGCGCATGCTCTGCAGGCACGCAACATGCAGGATGCCCCTTCCGATCCCTCTGCAGTTGCGAAGGCAGGAGCAGGTTGGTTTTAGATGAGAAACTCCCTTCTTTAAAGAAGGTGTGTTAACTAGTGCTAAAGTTTAGAGAGAGAGCTCTGTGGAGAAGGAGGCACCCAAGATCCTCTTCTTGACCCGCAGGCACCCGGTCACCTGGTAAGGAAGCAGGTAAGCGCTGCTCACCCGAGCGCCAAACCAAGCCTTGCTCAGAGTATGCAAAATCCAGAAAAATTGGTGTTAGGTACTATCATCCAAGGGAAAAGACACCTCAACCAGCGACCGTCAGGGTACGTAAGAGTATGCCATACTTACTGAAAGGTTTTCCAATTCTAGTTGTCGTACTGTATAATATGACTTAATATCTTCGGAGACCAATGTTAATTTCAAATTTGTGTCTTCAAAGACCATTTCTTTTTCTTCTTTTTGTGGCCAGTACTGCGCACATTTTAACTAGGGGAGAAAATAACACTGAATTATTATGAGTACTGACGACAGGTCAGAGTACCTTCTACGTGCTTTACGATAATGCAGAAGCCTGGGGTTTTCCGACCTTGGAAGCCGCCGTTGGCATAACCTGCCTGGCCTGTAAAGATCCAGCCAGGGTGCAGATTTCCAAACCCAGCAGCACCCCGGTAATCCGTACAATGGGGTGTTTCATGGGTCTGATCCTTTCCCCCTATCATCTCTGAGGTGGAGCCAGACTGCGGGAAAGGTTTAGTCCCTCAGAGACCACTTTATGTAGCCATTTCAAAGATTGTCAAAAACCTGATTGGTGGTGTTGGCTTAGACTCCTTACCCTGGGGAAAACACGAGGCTCACTGAAAACGAGACTAGAAGAGACTCCACGTGAAAACAATCAGATGAAAACAATTTAGAGCAGGCCTGGACAGGGGCTCCGCCGAGGCCCAGGGGCACCCATGGCCTCATCCTGTCCCCCCTCCCCCATCCAAGTTTGCCTCAGTTCAGAAGAACACTTTTGATGCTCTAGTTTAACAATTTCAGAAACTACTTGATGGTCTTGATTTAACTGTAACATTAACTTTTTCTTTAAAGCAAGCAAACCCAAAGGCTTAGTTTCGTTTAGAGTTTAAGAAAAAGAATTCGACTCAAATTTCGTGGCATACTTTACTTGAGCTAAATTTCTACGTGTTACCTGCCATTTCTGCCTGCTGATAACCATTCTGGACAAAAACAGCAGGCGGACGGGGGCCAAGTGCGCGGCCTGAGAGCCAGAGGACTGACAATGAGCCTCGACAGAGGGACCCCCAAAGATGGTATGGCTTCCACGGAATGAAACATCAGTGTGTGCAAACAGCCGTTTGGGAAATGGTACGAATTCAAGACAACTTGTAATTCGACACGCATTCGCTCCCTCAGCACCTCCTCTGAGGCAAAGGATGATGTATTTAAAATGCCACAGGAGGTGGAGGGTGGCCTGTCTGTCAGGAGAGACTGTTTTTATGCCCGGCAGTGACAAGCTGGCCCGAGGAACTGCGAGGAGGGACCGCTGTGGCCGTGCCATGGGAATGCAGAAGGTACATGCTTCAGGCCGGCTGATGTTATGCGAACGGGATCAGAGAAAGCTCGAAGGAAGAAGCAGCCTCTGATAGTCATGTCTAGAAGAACGACTGGGACTTCATAGGTGGGGACTACCAAGCCCGTCTCAGAGGGGCAGCGGGAGATGGGCCCCTGGGGCCGAGACACAGTGGCTCTGGCAGCGAGCCTGGGAACCTGCAGCATCACCTGCACAACGAGGCACCAGGAAGCTCTTATGGAGGGTGCAGATGGAAGCAGGTGCCCTCTGGTCCTGCTCTGCTGAAGCTGCCCGCTGCCCAAAAAACAAAACAAAACAAAGACAGACTCATCAAGAAACACCAGCATGTGATGCCAACACAGCATCGAACTTCATGAGACCCAAAAAAGATGGCTAATAGGGCTTCCTAAACAGCCCTATTTGAAAGTTTTAGCCAGTTTCATCCACGTCACCCACAGACGAACTGCCGAAGACAAACCTCCGGAATGGGGCCACTCTGTCAGTATCGCGGCAATTCTGCCACTCAGGACACAGAAGCATCAACGACATGGTAAGATTCCACACTTAGCCAAAGGAGGTGGGGTGGCTGAAAGCAAGACTTTGGAAGACCTTTAAAGGATGCATTTATTCCCACGTGTCAAGTCATTAAACCTGTGTAATTCTTTAAGACCCCAGAAACAAAGAGACTGCCCGCATAGGTTCAAAACCACGTGTGCTGGAGTGGGACACTCAACCAGCAAGCAGAGAGAGGCTGGGGCAAAGCAGAGATGCAGAGAATGCAGAGAATGGCCAGTTGTCACCCAAGAAGAGGCCAGTGTTTTCATAGCTGATGGGCAGGGAAAATGAGTCTTTTAAATCCCACCTCTACAAAGCAAGCACTCACTTTCAAAACTGAATATAAAGTCTAATAAATCTGTGTAATCTGGATAAAGACCAAGACTTTGGAACTCGACAGCTGAGGAATTCTGGTAATGTTAAGTGTCAATCAACCAGTGTTTACTTTCAAGAATTTAGACTTCTACTGTAACATGCCATGCTCTGCTCTGTCATTTCCTGTAGATATTTTCGTTTCAAACACACAAAACAAAACAAAAAAATAAGCACAAGATCACTACTTCCTGTTATCCTATTAAATTGACATGTACTGACCCGAAAAGATTTATTTTACTAGAAAACAGTCCTTCACCAGGATTCAAACTGAGGCATGTCTTGGGTGGGTACCAAGCAGCAATGTGGCACTGTTGTCATAGTTGCCATAACTGCCATGAAGGTAGATGTGAGAGAGAAGGCCTCGGGACCTTCTAAAGCAAATGACTAGGCAATCTTAAGAACAATCTATGAAAGTCACCTAAGTGACCCTGCGATGGGAGATCTGGCTTTCCCAAGGAGTGATGAACACAGAACTAAGTAGATTATAAGAGAGATGGACGAGGCCTATGGCACCTACGATACAAAATCCAGAGTCTCAAGCACAAAAGCACCTGAACTCAAAGAGCATCTTTAGTAGGGACTTCGGGAGAGTTTCCCTAGAATAGCCAGGGAAACTTGCCTCATTTACTTCCCCTGCCTGAACGACGACCCCCCCTACCCTTACACACATAACGCATTCTACGTGGACACGCCTAAAGTTAATGTGGAAATCAAACCAATGGGTCTTTGGCCATTTGGATGGCCACAGTCTAACACATGCAATCATTTTCTGCACAACTGTTTTCCAGGAAGTATGAGGTCCCAATGAAAGGTGACAGGCAGGTCTGCCAAAAATAAGAGGGGAACATCTTACACTACGCGGTGAAGGAAGGAAACCAGAAAACGAACACGTATGAAATGGGAAAGCTCTGCAAGCTGGTTTTCATCATGGGCTGTATGGATGGTTTCTAACTAGATTAGCTCAGCACATAAACCACTGCAACTTCTTACAATTTTTCCCGGTCAGTTCTTATAAGGGTGATAATGTCGATGACGAACTGAAAATGTCAAACCATATGTGGCTTTTCATGCCAATTTTTATGCCCAAATGACCCCGAGTGAAAAAAAATAGGTGTAAAAGAAACAGGGACTACTGTCCCATTATCGCAGTGAACTATAGCAAAACCTGCCAGCCACGCATCTTGATGGCCAACACAGCAACCGAGGGGAAAGGCCACTACGGTGGATCTCTGGACCATTCACCGTCAGTGGGAGACAACTACGAGCAAGGCCTGGTGACAAGCATGTAACGACAGCGCTCCTTGTCCTGTGACAACAGCAGCTAAAACAAACCGTGTACAAATGACAGAGGTTTTTATCTGAACTTTTAGCAACCAAAAAATAAAACGCAAATGCTACCGTATCTGATGAGTTTTGAATAAATAAGTCTTGATTTCAAACTCCCAACCCTTAACACCATCTAGAACAGCGGATTTCCACCAGCGACAATTCTGCCTCCCAGAGGACACTGGACAATGTCTGGAGACATTTTTGGTTGCCACAGCTGGGGGCAGAAATGCTACTGGCATCTAGCGGGTCGAGACCAGGATGTGCTAAAATCCTCGCCTGCACAGGGCGGGCCCACCACAGAGAATGAGCCGGCCCGAAGGGCAGCGGCGCCCGGGCCGAAAGACCCTGAACGCTGACCCGTGCTGAACGCCCTCACAGGCCACCAGTTTTCACTTTCCCTTGTGGAATGTGAGCTGTGGGAACCTAATGTTTTGATTCTTTATTCCAAATTGGTGACGAGAGTGGTGACAGGCGGGGGTTTGCTTCATGTCTGCAAACTTCACATTTCACTGATCAAGCCACTGAAGTAGAAAAATTAAAAACCACTTTCGATGAAAAAATTTTTTTCTAAGAAGCATTATTTTATCAACTGAACACTCAGGTAAGCGCTTTATTATTGAGCAAGTAAGTACTTTCCTTTAAGAGAAGAGGACAGAGGCAAAATAATGCATGGATTTAAATGTGCTGTGGTAAGAGGGACTGTTTGCTGTAACCGAGACCGTTTCTTTTGTGGGGAGCAAAGGGGCTTTGTGGTGGATGCCTCCCGTTTTCACTGCTCCAGTTCCCTTTGATGCGCTACTTCTTTGCACTTTATTTTTACCCCCTAGGGCCATGACTGTGCTTTCTTTGGAGGGGTGGCTTCTCCAGAGCCCTCATATTCTTCTGGCAAGCCATGTCTGCGTCCCAAGGTGGCCCGGACAGCTGTGGGAGCAGTGACCAGCCAAGCTTCAGCGAGCACAGTGCCAGAACCTTGCCAGGCCTGGGCACGCCCGGTTCTCTGGGTCCTGGGCCACACGTTCCCATGATCCTCAGCTCACCTCCTCCCAGGGCCTCACCTATGCGGCTGGAGAGTCCCAGATGTGCCGGCGGTGTCGAGAGAAGAGGGAAGGGCCCAGGCAGCGGGGATATGGCACCTATTCATGATGTTGAATACCACACTTGTGACAGGCACATGCACAGCCTTACATGGGAGACAGGCCTTTGACAGGCCACCCAGCAGCGTGAGCCATGTAGGGGGGAGGGAGGGCACAAGCCTGGCTGACCGAAGGGAAGCCATCTGAGGACACCCAGGAGCGGGGTGAGGGTGTGCACTGTGATTCAGAGAACATGGCAAGATGGCAAGAAACTTAAAAAAAAGAAGTCTGGAGTTGGAAGTTGGAGAGAGTGGTCCAGGTTAACTGGGACCCAGCCACACTCGGTCCTGCAGCCACATTAACATATTACTGGGAGGCAGGAAGAGCCTTAGACGGGTTTTCAGCTGGGAAGAAGTGTGGTGAGACTGCGTTTGGAAAGATCATTCTAGATGCAGGGTCAGAAGAGAAGAGAGCAAGTTGAAAGGCGGGGGATGGCCCGAACAAATACACACCTCTAGTCCATGTACTACCCCAAGGCTGTTTTAACAGTTGCAAAGGACTTGGAAGAAAGGATGACACAAATCCTGAAGTAGATGCACAAGCAGACAACATCCACACCGAAGAGTATGGCCAGGAGCCAAGTGGCTGGGATTTTTCAGAGGCAAAACCAGACTCCAGCTGCTCCCACGGCCGGAAAAGCCGATATGATGATGATACCGTAGACACTGGCTTTTCAAAAGAAAGTCTGCTTACACAGCTCCGTGATGCATAGAAAACTATGCTTACACAGCAGTGCAGGCACCACGGGTGACGGTGAAGCGGGGCGCACCCACCAAACTCGCGGTGGGGTGTGGCGGTGCAAGGGCGCTCTTACTAATTGCCCCATTTTTAAATTCATTTACTTATCTGACTTGTTTACAATAAACAGGTATTTATATATCGCTTAATTTTTTTTTTTTTCTAATAAAAAAGACACCACGTAAAAGAAATAGTAAAGCAATGCAAAGAAATAAACTTAGACAACAATGGCACGCTCGGAGAGAGCAACACTCTACTTACCGATCCTTTCTCCATCACTCGGTTGAGCATGACCACGCCCCTGCTCTTCTGCTCCCATACCATCTCCCAGAAGTGGCCGCACGTATTAGGCAAAGGGCCCTGCAAACACACAACCCACAAAGTGCATGCCATTTGCATATAAACATTCTCCAGTGCAAACTCATCCCTGGCGGTCAGCGGATGACAGTGCCCTGAGGCAGAGTGGTGGCAGAGGCTGGACAGAGACCCACCTCTCCCTGCCTAGTGGTCAGGAACCACAGTTCTGTCTTCTAACATGTGGTGAAAGGTCATTTCTGCCTCTCTGGGCTGACCAACAGGGGCGAGAAAATGCTGATTCCGCTGTCTGGTTTGGGCCAGCTGGCTGAGGGGCTCCGCTGGGATCCATCCCTAAGGGTGGGTGGAATATGGGACAAAACTACTGGGTGAAATGACAGGCAGCATGAGGACGTGATCAACAGTGAGCTTCTGGCTGTTGAGTCCCAGCTCCCATCATTTGTGTGTGTGACCATGGACAAGTGACGTTACCTCTCCATGCCTGTTTCTCTACCTATCTCACCTGACTAATCAGAGCACCTTGAGTTTGTCTCAATGTTTAGTACGGCCTGGCGGGGACATCACCTAACACCCCCACGTCAGAGCGTGTCATCTCTGGCCAGCACCAGAATGGTTTCCATTCTCAACTATCTTCACCCAAACTCTTGCCCTTTACACGTGTTCCCTGCGAGTCTCACCACACCTTCCTCGCCCACGCGAACCCCCAATGCCCTCTCACTTTCGCCTGGAACTCACCCCCGGACTTGCTGCCTGAACCAGAAAGTCCGCAATCCACGCGTGCGCTGTGGGACCCAGACGACAGAGACGCCATGTGCGACCCTTTCCCTCGACTAATCGAAAATGGCTCGGGGAAGGCGGGCATCCCGTGGCCTCCTGGCTGGCCACCTGGGCCTTTCATCCTCTGACCTGGGCATGAGGACTCCATCACCAGGTCTTCCTCAGCTGCAGCTCTCTGGGGCGCCTGTCAGTTACTAGCCTGTCACCTTCCCTACCTCCCAATGTCACCCCAGCTCAGAATGGGTCACAGGGATTAAAAATCACAGAAAGTCTGGAAGGATACACACCAAACTCAGCCGACACTTCACGGGGGAGGTGAAGGCGAGCACCTCTGACACTGTTCTCCACACCCCTATGCGTCTGGTGGTCAGACAGGACCAGAGGCTTGTGTTACTTGCATAAGGAACAATGAAAATAAAAAATGAGCAGGGTTTTCTTGCTTTTGTGGCTTAGAAAATGTTTCAGTCATACTATCCAGGAGTGTAACTTTGGGGTTAGGCTGCTTTCATCCCTTTTGCGAGTCCCAGGGCAAAGGGAGACGGTGTCAGCCCCTAGATACATCTGTGATATCACTTGACAAAACAAAACTTCAGATGTGCCAAGTAACTGCTAGGGTGTGGGGGTGGGGAGGGCAGGGTGCAAAAGCTTCCACGCTGATTTCCTAATGCTTCGTTTCACTTTACGCACCCTATCCATCTACGCTTTGGGCTTCCGGACCCCACGCCAAAGTTGAATGGCTGAAATCAGGAAGTAAGACTTGACTTGCTCTAAAAAGAGAAGTTCCTAGGAAGCCACTCTTGCCTCCACCTCTTCCCACCAACTCGCCCCGACCAGGGATCTCCCTCCTTATCGCCCCACCCCAATCCGCCCCACCCATCCCGCAAGTGCTGGGAGGACCATGGGCTGAGGGCCTGGTAAAGGCCTGCCCCCTTCTCATACACCAGTAACTCACTCGGCAGCCCCCCGAGAGTGAACACCGTATGGCTGATGTTGTGTTGACTGTGGGAGGCGTCGGGGCTGACTTTGGCACAGAGAAGAAGTGGCATGGGACAAAAAGGGGCAGTGAAGAAGGGCCACGGTGAACATGCCCTCATCTGGTTTCCTGTCGCAAAGCAGCCTCTGTTCGTAGTGCTTTCTGGCTCCACTAGAATTTCAATTTCTAAATACTAGGCGAAATTATGATGTTCGAAATCACCCTATAACCCAAAGCCGTATATAAGACTGATGTCAACTGATATGCAATGAGAAAACAAAAATTATGATAGAAAAAGAGAAACTTAAGACTATTCAGACCGATTTACAGGTAACAGATTACGATGTGAGAAAATTAATCAAAAATTTCTTTGCCCCCATTCTCAGATACCCATTGTTTTGGTTCATATACCAGTAAGTGTTTCACAAGGTCAATTATTAAACCACGTTCATGATTTTTTTTTCCTATAAAGATGCCAAAAGCCAATGGGAATTTTAAGTGACTTCGCATGCTTTTTCACATACTCTAATTTTTTTTTCTGGATCAAAGAATGAGGACCATGCCAAGGAACTCTGACTGGACATCTGGACAAAGGTTCCAGGTCTACTGCTCACCTCCTAAGATTTCTATAAGAAGCACTCAAAGCTCTCAGGCTAATGCTTATGGAACCAATACAGGTACAGGCACTTCTCTAGCCACGGCTCTGATGCCTCTGCTGACAGACCATGGGCAATCCTGCCATTTTAATGCTGTATTTTACAAGCCCAGCAATGTTCTGCTTCCCAGAAAAGGTTAGTGTGAACAACCAAACGATCTCTGGAGGAAGACTTTTCCCTACCTTGTTGCTTTTATGAGCTGTTGAAACCTCACCTTCTAAAGGATGTGGAAGATTTCATTTGAGGTATAGATAATAGCACTCTAAAATGCTTAAACTGACATCGAGTAAGGCAAAAACCATTAAAAAAAAATTCAGACAATCCTAGGTTTACCTGGGTAAGAATGTAACTTCTTTGGGCTTCTTCCATTTTTATCAAACTAGCGTTGATATAGTCGTTATCTTCTTGATGAAGTTTAATCCGACTATGGTCAACTGAAAGGCAAACCAGAACTCAGAGGTTAATCCTGGAGGACCGAAGTGTCTACACAGGCAGTGCACCCCGGAGGGAAAACAAAGGTGAGTTGGTGGCATCGAGGACGTTCACATTGGCTGAGGCCGTGCCTTTTAAATCAAGATTAGTCATCAATGTGGGAATGACTAGTACTTTCAGAAAGGTTCCTGAAGTGGTTGAAACTTAATGCTAAACAATAATAGAGACAAATGACACCAAAACGTGAATTATGTCCTATTTGAAAAGTCCATTCTTAGGTCATATCTTCCTATAACACTTATTACTGTCCTCACAACTTGGTAGGCTGGGGGAGAGAGGGTGTCAAGAAATCTGTCCTTTGATGCCTAATATATATTTTTATAGGGTGCGATTTATGAGCACACCTCCTTAACCTACATCTAAAGGTTTGAAGATTAAATGACCTAAGTATAGAGCAGTGTGAAAAGTCACACCTTGGATTCCTTTATATAAGGTTTTTCAAAAAGTTCAAGTATAACTTACTTAAATGATTCTAAATCTTTCAAAGTCAAAACCTGCCATGATCAAAGACATTTAAAAGGAAGCTTAACTGGAAAAAATAAACTTTGAATCCAAAATAGTGAAAGCACATTAAATATAGCTTTCAGAATAGTTTTTAAAAATAAACTCTCATTTGGCAGTTCTGCCCAGGTTACTGAAAAGCATGGCTACTTTTTTTTTTTTTCCTTTCACCATGACTTTGTCATAAAAGAAATAGTTCCCTGAGGGCCACTTTTCTTATCCTGCTAGTGCAGCTAACAAGAGCAGGTGAGTACTTCTATTTTCCGTACATGAAAAGGGATAATGAACTCAGGCGACCACCCATAAATAGTATCTTCTCCCCCAGCTCAGTGGGAAAGGAGAAGTTCATGGCAATAAGAGATTTGGGGGCTTTTCGTTCTACAGGATTCCAAAGAGATGTTTTTAAAAATAAAAACTGTTTGGAACACTTTCTCATTGTAAAGGGTTATTACGAATTGAATACTTGGGTAATATTTAAGTGGGTCATGGGAATAAAAAAATCTCAAAAAAATGACGGGAGTGGCACTGGTGGGTTATGTGAATGGTTGGAACAGCACTGGGTGACTTTGGGGAAATAACTCTTCTGAGCATTGGGGTTTCACTTGCCAAACGGAAGATAACGAGATCCCCTTCTACCCTGAATCACGCTCCCATCTCCTCCATATCCTTAAAAGCAAATCATTTTGTCTACTGCAGAGTGGCGGGAGGGGAGAAAAATATATGAGGAATGAGACTGGGGGGTGAAAGAATATTTTCAATGCTTTTTTCCTCTGTAAAACTGGTTCATAAAACCATTTAGATGAGTACTGATCCAAGATGGAGAAAAGAAATATTGATGACAACATTATTGCCTAATTCAGAGCAAGTACAGCCACAGCTGGAGACCACGGGCATCTGCGGCGCCGGTGAAAGACGCGAACGGTGATCTCTGGAGCGCAGAACCGCGGGCCAGGACCTCACGGCAGAAAAGGCGGGAGAGATTTTTAAAAATATAAAGCGTCTGAGGTGCCACAGCCTAGACATGCTAACTCAAGAGTGTCAGGTGTTGGGGCACGATCGCGTGTCACTTGAAGACCTAGAATTGCACTTCCGATGGTCCTGGTGTGCGCCTTCAGTTAACGGTCATCTCAACCACCGCCAACACTGACTAGTGAGACACCGGGGGCTAAGCAGCTCATGTTATTTTATTTCATTGTCACACAATCCTACAAGATCAGTGTGACTCCTGTTTTACCGAGGCTCAGAGAAAGGAACAATTTGCCCAAAGCCACACAGCTGTTAAGTGGCAGGCTGAAGCACAGGTAGAGACCTGAGGCAGCAGTCAGAGGCAGACTGCTCTGGACCAGTCTAGGTCCATTTCTACTCCCCTCCCAGAAGCCTGGGTGTGGTGTAACTCAGGGGGCACTGCTGACTTTTTTGCAAAGCACGATGAAAGCCACCACCCACAGCCACGGGCGCAGCGTGCTTTAGTAGGCATGCAGGAAGTGCCAGTTTGAAGAATGACCTACAGACTCTTCTACGTCCCTGGCAGAGAATACTGCCATAGGAGATATCGGCAGCTTCAACCCTCACCGACTGACAAGCTCTAAAAACCGTGGAGGTGGGTCAAAAAGGCTTCTGTGGCCTAGAGGAGATGGCAAAGTTCATGTCCTTCACTTAGTCCCAGGGTGTCTTGCTTTACAGAAATTCTAACACGTTTACTTATTTACTTTTAAGATACAAGCAGACTGAGAGCCAAGGACTGCCCGAGGCCTGCAGGCACACTGAAAGCTAACGGCAGGAAAGAGCTAGAAGTCAGATGACGGTGGCAGGGGGCAGGTTAGGGTGGAACTCAACAAGCAGAGCTGGCTCGTGTCTTCAGTGGAGGGATGGAACAGCTCCTTCCCCGCGTGCCTGCGCAGGGCAACGTGACAGTTCAGTACAATGCTCGGGGTCCAATAATACTGTTGCTGAGTCATCCAGAAAAGGTTATATTATGCCTGCTATACTCTGCTTCAGCTGGTAGGAAAATGATTCATCAGAAAAAAAGTCAAAGCTAAAAAAAGTGCTTTGAACTTAGCTGAATTTTCCAGAAACTGAAACCTTACCCCTCTCCAATGGTGGAAAAATGAACCATTACTATAAGTGTCTAATGCCTTTATTATAGGAAACAATCAAGTCATAAACCTTTGTTGCTACTGATTTATCACCAAACCCCAGAGCTACAGGAGTCTCGACTGAGAGGCCCTGCAGCTGAGAAAGAGCCGAGGCAACGGAAGCAGCAAGACCAGTAATGGCGATGTGAATACTTACAGGGACTGACATCTCTGTACCTGTTTCGGTTTTTGTTCTTGGGAAGCTTGGCCACTCTACACGGGAAGTCACTGGCTTCGTGTCGGATATCCTACGAGAAAAGGATAAAGAGATCTCTTTTGAAATCTCTGGCATCAGGAATTCAACCAGACATTCAACGGAACACGGGCCATGTGCCAGGCATTGAGAAAGACCCAGTGCAGAAACAGACATCGAAAAAGCCAAGCAATGTGGGAAACTCAAGGTGATAATTCAGAGGCATGTACAAGGTCACAAGAGGAAAACAGAAGAGGAAGCCCATGCCTAGGGTGGGAGGAAGTGGCAAAGAGTTGGGTGCCGGACAGATGTGAAAGAGGGCGGGGAGACGGAAGGGGCCATTCCACTCACAGCACCCAGCACGGCAAAGGCGCTGGGGCTGGAGTTCACATCTTATGCGAGGAACAGTGGGTGGGCTGGCGGGGAGGAGGGACAGACACACAGGTACGTAGATCTTGGAGAGCCTTGAACGTCAGGCCTGGGAGTTCCATCTGTAACCTTTTACAAAGCTACAGTTATTAAGAGCAGGTAAGATGCACTTTTATGCCAATAAACTATCCAACTGCTTTCCTAGGAGATGATAAATCACACACGACACCAAACTATCCGAAAGTAAAAGTGCCTGGATTAACATAAAACCTGCAGTATGCCTCCTGATAGACTGATCACACACGTCTAATTTTGCCCCTCCAAAACACTACTATAATCACATTAAAAATATTTCCTTTCATTTTATTTTATTATTAAAAGGCAAGCCCATATAACAATGCCACTAAACCGTACACCTAAAAATGGTTACAGTGATAAATTTTATGTTATGTATATTTTACTATAATTGGGGGGAAAAAAAGACAAACCCGCCAGGGGAGAACAAGAGAGAAGACAACAGCAACCAAATTTTGAAAGCTGGCGATCACACTGATTAGCGGCTAGCAGATGCAGAAAACTCAATTTCAAGCCAGCAGTGGGGAAAGCGGAGAACCACCCTGATTTCTACCACGGAATCCTTCAGAGGCTCAGGCAATGTGGCCTCTCTGGAAGAAGGAGTGGGATTTGCTGCAAGGGATGGGGCAGAGCAGTCTGAGAGGGGCTGCCCCCTACACACACATTGCCCCCCACCTTCCAACTGCTAGGTGACTGCCACCTGTGCAGAAATCTGGAGATTCTCTGGAAAACGCAAACCAGGATGCAGAGGCGCTCTAGATGATCTGAGCAGACAAGCGGAAAGACCAAAAGATAGCATCACCAAGGTGTGCAACTGACAACCCGCATAGAGGCCACGTGACCAGATCAGCACTAACGAGCCTCTCATACCTGCTTAGGGCTCTCAATCTGCCTTGTAAATTCCTACTCCTCATCATATGCAGACAATCACTGGTTACCAGATGCAGGAGGAAAGCCTCTCTTATATAACAGGATTTACAAGAAAAAAAAAAAAGGAGAAAAGAAAAAAAAAAGCAAGAAAAGTAATTGTATCCATGAATTAAGAACAGGATATTACATAAAATAAACAAAAATGTCACGTGGAACTTAAAAATAAGATAGCAGAAAGAATAAGCATAATTGAAGAGTCAGAAGAGAAAGGCAGAAGAAATCCTCTGAAAAAAAGACAAAACAACCACAATAGAAAATTAGGCAAAACAAAACACAAGGAAAGAAAACATCATAAAACGTTCAAGGAAATCTTCCAGACCCATCAAGTGCTCATCATCAAAACAGACCCATACGAAGGCACATTAATTTACAATTCCAGAATCCTGCAGACAGAATATTCTGCAAGTTTCCAGAAAGAAAAAATAGATGACTTTCAAAGGATAAGATGATAAGCATGACTTCCGACTTTGCCAGAAGAACACTGGAAGCCAGATGGCAATGGAGCGGTGCCTTCAAAATTCTCAAGATAAATGACGGCCAACCTAGAATTCTATATCCAACCCAACAGTAAGCAGGTAATAAGGGACAATAAAAACATTTCCAGATATACAAGGCCTCAAAAACTTCACCACCCATTCTCCCTTTTCTCAGCAATCCACTGGAGCATGTCTTCTACCTGAGGAGAAAGATGTGAGAAATACAAGGAAAAAAAACATGGCAAATGAGCAAAGGCAAAGGCAATTTCCACAAACACTGGGAGAGGAGGCGTTCCCAGGCCAGCTTAGAGCAGAATGATTCAAGAGATAGATATGTGAACAATGTACTTTTGTCCAAGCACTGTGACCGAAAGAACCAGAGAAAGTGAGACCTGAAATCCAGGAACAGGGAATCCAATTGAGAAGAAAAGCAAAGGAAGTGTCAGATGACAGCTCTGCATGCCAGGCCTGCAGCCCAGCTCACCCAGAGAGGAGAGTGGCAGTTTCCAGCAGGGACGTCTGCGAGAAAAAGAAAACTGAGACCAAGAAATCACCTGCAACTGCCCTGTGCAACGCACCAGCCGCTTGTCACATGTGGCTACTGAGAGCACTTGAGATCGACAAAGATGAAAAGAGATGTGTAAAGTGTAAAAATACACTTTGAATGTTGACGACTTAGTACTAAAAAAGAGAAGTAAAATATCTCAAATATTTTATTTGTTGAAATAACATGTTAGTAAACGTTGGGTTAAGCAAACTGTATTATTAATTTCATCTGCTTAACTTTTTTTCACTGTGGCTATTAGAAAAGGCAAAATTATATATGAGGGTTGCATTGTATTATTGCTACTGGACAGAGCTGAGTGACTAGAAAGTTGTTCTGAGAGGCTCCTGGAAGGAATGGGAAGAATTCACAATAGGTAGAAAGAAAACTATGCAAATTAAAAAAACAAGGCACGTATTAACTACAGAAAAAAATCTAAAAGGGAAGCAGTACAGTACAACACTATCTGTGACTATGTGCACAGGGGAATAACGTAAATAATAAATACTGTTTTAACTAAAAAACGTCATGTTGGGAAGATGGGGAGGGGAAGCAAAGGGGATGAAAAGCAGAAATCGCTGTTTAAGAAAAAGAAATTTAGTAAGGGTCTAAATTAATGAACCAAAAGATACACATGCTCCTTAGAAATATGGATATATAAACAATATAGAAACAGTCACCTAAAGAGCTGAAAACTGTCATTATGAGGAGAAAAAACTGGGAGAATGGCCTGAGGTGTGGGCGAGCCAAAAAATGGATTTTATTATAAACCTGTCATGGTACTATTTAACTTAAGCTCTGTGCGCTTTTAATTTGGATTAAAAAACAATGCCCACATTTTACTATTCCACTTATTTAAAAAACTACAAAATGGCAGGGAGGCGTTTCTGACTCATAGATGAGCCAATCATGTAAAAGCATGATGATAGATTATAAACCCACCTGAGATTAAACAAATCAATCCAGTAGTAAGACACACACCACATCACTTATGAATGACATTAAGCTTTCAGGAAAACACTACAGAGCACAGAGAAAGAACTTGAAGGAATAAAAATCTAAGTCTTAAATTTGTTGTTCTACACATTATTTGGAAGCATTTAGCAATAGGTACAAATTCTACCTCGTGAGGCGAAACAGTCAGGTTATTTCAGATGGTGTGACTGGATGAAGATGGAAGAAATCATATGAATAAACCACTGACTACTCTGAGTCAATAAGGGCCAAAGATCAATAGTAGTGTGCAACTGATTTTATTCAGCCAAAAGACTATTAATATATACTTTTTTGGGTGCAAAAAGAAGAAAAAAAAACTTGGATGTGTCATTTAGTAAAGGGAAGATAAGAGGTATTCACACAATAATTTTAAAAAAATTGATTTTAAAGTTAACGTATTCTCATAGAGTAAAATGCACGGATCTTAAATGTGTAGTCGATAAAGTTTTCTGACCAACTTTAAAGTATAGTTTACAAATAATAAAATATACCCATTTAAGTGTTTCTCTACTTTAGAATGGTATACGAGGAACACATGCATGCTCTGAATACAAGTATTTATATTTCATTTAGTAAAATAAAATGCCATGATTATAGTCTTAAAACTAAAATGTGATAAAGCACCTTTAAAATGAAAGGTAATTGCCAACGTGGTTTAGAAGAAAATCAGAAACTACTGTACCATAAATCTTTATACAGAATTATAGCAAAATGAGATTTCTGTATCCTAAAACTGTATCAAAGGTAGGCTGACTTTCCAACAGCTATAGAAAAACCAGATTACTCACTATGAAAGGAGTGTAAAATGACTTCCATCATACACATAAAATATCCCTCGAAGACCTTTTATTATGCTGATCTATGATTAAGTAATCTACTAAGCATGTAAAATTTACGCAAAGAGAAAATAAAACAAAGGCCTCAGGCTCATGAGAGAAGATGAATGCTCAGTAAATTTAGGAACCAAGTCGAAAAGGAAATATTAAACTTACCATGAAACGGGTTCTCACAAATAGCCCCTAAACAAACCACTGAGGATTTCAAGAATCATTCAGAGTGTACCCCAGCATTTCGGGGAGGGGATGGCACTAATTCAACAAGGTAACAGATGATTTCCCAGTGAACACGAGGGGAAAACACATTTATAAAGCTTTGGTAACAGAATGAATTAATGCCCAGAGTGAATCGATTTCTGTATCTATTCAGGAAAGCTCAGTATCTAGTATTCAAATATCTCCCAAGTCCAATTAGGCAAAAAGTCAAACGAGTGAAAAAGCTGACAATTTTTGATTTGAGATTTTTATTTTTCTTGAAAACACAGAGGCATAAAAACCAGTCCAGCCTTGTAGAAATATTTTCATGTTTATAGTAAGCACCTCATTAAGTTAAACATAGCAATTTTGGTTTTAACATTCTTTGGGTGAATGTCTTATTGGTTCTATGATATTATTTTTAAAACTATTTGACAAGTGACAGGTAGAGACAGCTACCTCATCCCTTTAGCAGTCAGAATCCAATAAGAAGGGCCTAGGCTCTCACCTCTCTATCGGCTCCTAGTTTAGGCCCATGCTAGGAGGCACTAGACATAATTTTGTTGGCTGAATTATTGAATGGTTCTAAAGGAGCTCAAAGCTCAGAGTCCTTAATTCTATACCAACATGCTCC